CCCGATTCGGAGTGGCGTAAACAGAGAGGTGGCCAACCCATGACCTGGCAGAGGAGTATGAAGGAGATGACGAAACGCTTGGGTGCTGTCGGTGCTACTCGCCTTCCAGGATGTGGACCGCGTGATCCTCACTGTGCCTTGTTGGAGACACTACAAGATATGGCTGGCACCCGATGTCAGTGGCGTTCTTGTTGTCAGTTTCTGTCCAGATTGCCTGAGTGAATGTCTGGAGGTGTAGGCACCTCGGAATGATTGTGTTAAGCTAGCACTAAGTCCCTCCCCCATCCACCTTTATTCTTTTCTTTACAATAAGGCTTTCAAATAAGTCATGGGTGTACGGCAGTGAAGCATTGGTGTTGAGCACTGATGTCATGCTGTCGTTGATGATGATGATGACCCACAATCCCCTAGGAGGAGAAAGGCGCATAAAAGGTGTTTCCTTTTTTGAGAGCTTTTCTTGATATGAATGGTTATTCGACAAGTGTTATATATTCTTCAACCGTAAGCAAGAGTTTCGTAACCGATGAAAAGGCTGATTTAAAGAATGAAGGCAACTACTGCTTTCAAACAGCTGCTCGTTTTGCGAACTCTTTTAGGCGACATTTTTCTGAGGAATTCACAAGAATCAGTGATGCATGAGATGGGTAAGGTGAGGAGGATTTGTGATTAGGAATGGTTGGTCAGCGATTCTTAGAGAACATAACACTTTTGTACACCGTCGATAAAACGTCCCATTCCATATAATAGATGGAGGTTACAACCTAGGAAATTTGTTCGACTTAAACCACAATGGTAGCTTACTTTGCACAGTCGCACAGCGCTGGAATAGGCCTTCGCACGTGTGAACAGCCGCACAGCTTGGTCCACATTTCCGCTGGCTTCCATTTGACGAGCCAAATGGTAACAAGCCGCCGGATCCCCAGTTTCGTTGCATAATGCTTCCGCTTCCACACTCTGTCCGAGACAACAGAGCACCCGAACCAAGGAGAGATAATCTTTTGCTTGCAAATAATAGCTGCGGGCTTCGTCCAATTGCCCTTCAGCCTCAAGTGTCTGCGCCCACCATCGCAGGACAGTCCTATGGGAGGAAACGGAACTCATCGCTAACCCTTTTGTTGGCGCCACCAGGAAATCATTTAAGTAGGGAGATGAAGAACAGTGATTTCGTAGGAATCGGTGCTTATTTTCCTGGTTGTTTAGAAGGGCTCTCCTAGTAGAGTTGTTTTTAATTATCTTTGCCGTCACGTACTGTAACACCAGTAACAGAATCCTGATTCTTAACTGCCAAGGAAGTGTTCAAAAATCGTTCAGCCGGCAACTTAGTATAATGTGGGACTAGTCCCTTCGGTTAGCAGTGTCTGGTGGGAATGACAGAATGTTGATTAGTTTATAGGACCTTTTAGCGTGTCATTGGGACAGATGAACTTCGTGGAATGGCTCATGGAAATCCCATGGCCTAAATATTAATATATAACTGGCTTTTGCTGTTGTCTCTTATTTGTGTAGGAGGACTGACAAAGTACATATATACCCATAACACATAAGGTTGGTTATGACCGTCCGAAAATATCGAAAAGTGACTGCTACCATCCGCAAAGGAGTGCTTTGAGCTCTCTGTCTAAACTATTATTCAAATATATACTTCTCCTGGAAAGACGTCAAAAGATTCCATTCGCGGGTACTATGGAAAAGGCAAGTTCCGGTTTGATTGTCCTCGTAAGCAAGCTTGCCCTGATCAAAACGACTTCACTCACTTGTCTTTCTGTTGGTTTACGAACGTCTCCAACATATCCGGTGTTGACTTCAACATCCGCGGAACTTCAAAACGATGTGTCTCGAATATAACTCGAACGTCTCCAACATATCCGGTGTTGACTTCAACATCCGCGGAACTTCAAAACGATGTGTCTCTGACTGAATATAGGGGGGGGGGGGGGGGGAGGGAAACGCAAATTCTTTGTTTAGCTCAAGCGTTTCACATGCGAGTACTGGGCCCTGTCTTTCATATGGCTACTTTCTCGACATAACTTTTGTCAAACAAGCCAATATGATCCATGGAGAGTAAAGCAGTGATGTTCGATATAAATTACCTTCGACAAAAGAGAGACCTTACTCTATATATAACTTGAGACTGAGAGTGCCTAGGTTCGAAAGCATGATACAGGAGGCATGGGATGAATGCAGATCGTTACAACCATCGTTGTGGTCCTTAATATTGTTCGACTCATTACGCACCACTGAACTGTCGTCCAACAGATGTGATTAAGGTGTCACTTTTTTAACAGTGAAAGTTCGAAGCCAAATTCACGGGTTAGGGCAGTGAGGGACTAACCGAACTTCATCAGCGAATACAGTCAATTATCACCAACTTTCCGCCGTATGCTCGGATTGCTACCTAAGCTGTGGTGGCTTATTCACTTGATATTTACGAAGAATAAACTAATGATTTGTTGCTTTTCCATGTCCGACCGGATTTGAGGAAATGGTGTGGTCCGCAAGTGGATGTGATTAATTGTAAGCTGAAAAAGATGACATCGATTAGGGTAGAGGAAGACAATTGAGCATAACGGAGGTGGTAGAACTGACCAGCTAAATGTCTCAATGTGGGCGTACAGCACAAAACCTCGAAAGTCAGTAGCTCAAGAATTACCAGATGTGATGCACAACTGCACTTTGGGGGAATAAATTATTGGGGTATTCCAGAAAACATACTGCTCGATGGCCTCCTGGAGACGTCCTGTTGATTCCAGCTCTTTCGCATACGCATAGTGTGTAGCGCGCAATGAAATTCGATTATGTGAAGCGGCCACACGTAACGCCTTTTCCCACTGTCCCAGAGACTGGTGCAAACGAATTACCAGGTCCCATCGGTTGCACTGTGCGAACAAGCGTTCTGCTTCATCCTGTAACGGAGTTGAATGAAACGACTTGGGAATTCGGTCACTGGCAAAGAACAGTTGAGAAAGTACTCGCCACCCGTATCCCCATGACTGCAGACCAGTACAAGTGAACCTCTAATCAGAGACCACCTCCAAGATGAGCTATTTTTTGTCAGGTGTCTGACGTCTTGATTTGTTTTCAGTACCCTGGAGAGGTCTTTACACAAATCTGACTGCAAGCGAGATTTCAAAGTACCTTTCAGAGAAAACTGTCTCAGAAGAGGCCGAAAATTTGCCTGCTTCACACGTGAGCATCCTTTTAGTCCCGAGAAATGTCCTATGTAAATTTCAAACTGAGCGTGTCCGGCACAGGTTCTGTGGGTCAGTTTTTCCGAAACCTAGTCACATTTGATTTATGAAGAGAAAAATACTGGTTGCAATTGGCATGCTGTTCTTTTGTCCAGGTTCAATCAAATTTTTTTCACAGTTGATAATTCTTAGACTAACCACTGTTAATGAGGTTAGACAAACGAGACCGGATTACTTAAAACACTGCGTTAAATAAAAAGATGTGTCAAAAGCGAAACGTTGCCAAAAACTACCATGTTAATGAGGTTAGACAAACGAGACCGGATTACTTAAAACACTGCGTTAAATAAAAAGATGTGTCAAAAGCGAAACGTTGCCAGAATAAAAACTACCAATTGTTTACCAAGCTTTTCTGAAACGAAGATGTCGCCTCATTTGGACTATAGTACAGCGAAGCCTCTGCTTTTGAAACATGAAACATAAATGTTGCAAACATTCGATAACGGAATTCTACCACCAGTGACTCATTATCGGGTAATGCTGTTTGTGAACTGAACAAGTGTTTTCTACAACATTACTAGTAACTTGGTTTAAGAACTATCAAAATCACAAACTAGGAACCCTACGTAGATGGCACGACTAATCTAGCTACGACATCGTTTTCTTGCAAAATTTATTTGTGTGTCATCAGGCTTCTTAGCCAAACTGACGTTTTTCAGCTAAAAAACCAAGAATTTCCGCCCCTTACAGGACGAAATTTCCACAAAATCCCGAATCTCCTCACACTGCCAACAATATATAAGTTGCTCAGGGGAAGAATAAATTTCACCCGGTGGGTGAAACTTCCATCTGAGAAGTCATTGCTCGAGGAGCCAGTCAACACATGTGACAGCGTGATGTGGATCCCGTAACTGAAGTATGAGCGGCGCTATATCCTTTCTAAGTACGAGTTAATACACTGCCGAATCAACTAGCCAGGAGGTCGTGGGTTCGAGACTCTCCGGAGTTTCGTGAGATGCGCACTGCTGATGATTCCCAATAAGGATGAAACAGCTATGCAGTGCTTCTCGGCTCTTCAGCATAGATTGGCTTCACTTACGGGACGAAGTATTCGAAAAAATCTTCAGCCCCTGGTTTGTGCATTTCTTGATTTCTTGGTAGAACTTATCATTCATAAAATATTCTCGCTTATAGGTTTGTAGCAGAAACAGTGACAGCATTGAAATTAGAGGTGGGACAAAGCTACTAAACCAGACGGATGAGAGGCCGAGATAAACCTGCACTTTGTTCTTTCTAATAAAAATTGCGTCTGCTGAAACCGATTAAGGAAAAGTTAGATGTCCCTCCCCCAACAATTGAGATCTTTTTTAAAACTGAAAAAACTTTCTTCGTATGTTTTATTCTTCTTCTATATTACGTTCATCCAGCACCGGTAGAATAATAATAGTAAATCGATTGATGCAACGGTTCTCCTATTGTTGCTCTAGGTTTGCATAGTCAACATATGAATTTATGGTGAATCTTACATGTATTTTGAAGACATATGTCGGATTCTACCTTTTGAGTTTCCCATTTGCAGTAGCGGGTCATGTGGGCACGAGTGATACAGCAGGAACGTATCTTATTTACCTGAGAAGTGATGCCATTCGATACTAGAAATTCTACAGTAGCGTGAACTATGCTACCATATTGAATGGGCAATCTGAATCCTTTGTATTTTACTGCAGATTGCTGTATTGGATCATGCCAATGATTTCAAGAGGATCGCTGGTTACTACGAATGGTGGGTTGGTTTCTGCTTCCCATTCGGCCTGACGCATAGGACAAGGCCGATGGAGCACCACTCACAGTGAATTATGCTTTCACCGAGTCGCATGTGTATCCACCCGAATGTCTTATAGCCGATGTAAACCTGAGGGAATTAGACTGGATGGAATATATGGTGAACAGTCCTGAATCCATTAGGATGCCCAACTGACAGACCATAATTCAGGTGGATACCACCAGACCCACACATGCACAAACACAAACGGTCGTCTGATGGTTCGTACAATTCAGTAGACCCTTAGGCTCAAACCGATGAATAACTCGCGCTAGCCATTATTCAGCCTGGCCTGTACAGGGGGTCACTTCTAACACCGTTGCCGGCTTAGCACTCCGGGATTTCAGGTGTTAAGGCATGTGAATGCATGAAAATAGATATGGTCAAATAGAAGAGACAATGTAATAAGATGAAGTGCATCACTGCAAAATACAATGAAATATGAAGAATGAGCACAAGATAAATCTGACATAAGTAAGAAGATAATTGAGCAACCCGTCACCCCAACGCAGTAGCATTAAGTGGCAAGACACTAAACGCTTCCATAAATTCGGACTATGGCAATGAACAGGACAAAGGCAATAGAAGGCTACCCCTGCGTACTACTAATAGCACATGTAGTACGTCTTATCTCTGGACCCTTCATCTCATCAGTTAGATTCACGTAGCCACCTGAACTGCGTTCTCTGTGGTGTTGGCTTAGTTTTTGATTAATGCGTTAGTTTCTAATTAACAAGAGGATTCCAAGTGGTAGGTCAACCTCCATCCTGTTAGGTTGGAGCAGTGAAAGACTGTTTGACAGCACAGGACAGGTAGGAAGTTTGCCGTTGTCCGTAGTGAGGCGCCTAATCGAGCGTCAACTCTTTAAACTGTCTCGTTATTCTGTTGCATGTGCCTTACAGTACACTGCGCGATCATTAGTTAGGAAACGAGTTTTGTAAAAAGAACCTGGGCTTAATTAACAACAACTGTCCAAGAGTAATTTTAAAAAATAAGTAATTTGAATCTAGATAACAGGCAGAGGCTATATCCACAATGCTGGCATATTTAGTTTTTTATTACCCTCCCAATGAAAATGGACTTCAAGCCAGAAATAAGAACAGGGATCTCTTCTGTCCTTTAATACACAACTCCTTTGCTCAAGAAGCACCATTACTGAGACTTTGGGAAGCCACCTTAGCTAGGGCCATAGTGATTGAGAAGAGTTAGGTGGACTCGAATCAACTTCCATTGGTTTTGAATTATGGCGAGCCCCTAACGAATAATTTACACTAGGGCAGAAGTATGATGTAAACAGAACCGGGCTCAGGTGTAGCTGTTCTACTGTGCAGCGATTATCTGAAGGCACTTACCGGAAGTAGTACCTTCTAGAAAGAAACAAGCCCTGGAAGATGAAAAAATCGAAAAGTCACCTAATGAGGGACAAAGCCTGTGGTACTTTATTTGTCACACTTCTCTCGAATATCTTATAAATTTGGTGAAATTCGGATACAACAGGTAAGGCTTCGTAATTATTTTCCAGTGCAGAAGGCCGCAGATTGTCCGAAGTGATTTCAGTAGCTGTTGTTTCGTCCAATCAATTAGACTTATGCGATTAGTCCCACGCTATTTAGTTGTCTTGATGTGCAAACTGATGAACCAGTTACAGTGGGTCAGGCGGCGAAGGTATATATGATTTTCCCACCCAACGAACACCATGCCTGAGAACTTGCCTCTGCAGAAGTAGCCCTATATCACTCGGACGCCGTGCTGTCATTCAACGCGACATCGTTCGTTGTTGAGCTCGCATATGCACTTTACAAGAATTTATTTGATACCTTAAAGATCCTTTCTGTCCCGCAGGAGTTGGATCGTTTTCCCAAAGGCATTCGGTAATATCAAGTCTGTCAATCGACCTCACACTGGTCCCACAATTAGAAGCTTGGTGGAGGACGATGTAACTCAGGCATATAGAATTGATAGTTTTTAGTTATTTATCGAGGGGTGGTTTGTTCTTAATTTTAGGAAAATGGGTTAAGTAGGGAGGCGGTCGCTTCAGGGTGGAAACTTTGAGTTACTAACCAGAATTGGCTCCCTGTAGAGAGTAGTCTCTCTGGACGGTGAGTTTTTCACATGGAAACGATAAAATCCTAGCATGTGTATAACCGGTTTGGGATAACATACGTCAAGAGCGCTAATATGTAATCTACAACTTACAGGCATACCAAGTTGCAAAGCAAGTTCACCAGCTTGAGCTTCCAGTTCAGGTTCACGTTCTCTTGCTTCACGAACCATTAGAGCCGCCATGGCGTTTTCCGTTTTGCCCAAGCATACGCGCGCGACATCCAGACGGCAGGTACTTACGCACATTCTGGCCATGTTCTGCATGGAAAACGTGTGACACTAAGCTACTTGACGGGGAAAAAACGTCACTAAGCTGGGCTGAATTATTTAACTAAAAGCTGGACTGGAGTAGCCTTGCTGGACTTCATAATTAGGTCAGATTGTTACAAAATCCCAATAAAGACAGTAAAACTCAGACCTGGCCTAGGATTTTTACATCCCTTTTATATTATCCTTGTATCATCACGTTAGTTCACATAGTATAAACATAAAACTGACGTTTGCATGCAGATCTTTGTATGGAAAATCGAAGTACCGCTGATGGTGCCCACACACTGCCGTAGTCTGAAGAGTTGCCATATTTGAATGACGATGTTGTCACTGATCCAGTGAAGACCGAGTGATGATGTAAATCTAGTCTGAAGGACCCCAAACTGATGTCGCAAAATTCTGTCAAACTAACAGCATCACTTTCACGCGGGTAGTAGGTTATTTAGACTGACAAACGAAGAAACCATGCACATACTAAAACTGAAAATATAACTTGAAAAAACATGACAAATATGTCATGAACGCTAGAAAGTGGAACACTTTAGTGAGGAGGAGCACCACACAAATGGCTGAAGTGCAGTCATTATTGTTTTTATAACCCCTCAAAATATCGGTGGCCGAAAAAAATAATTTCAGTTTGCGCTTCGTTGCAAGCGCTGTGGTTAACAGTTAAGTATAACAAAGCTGGTGCAAGCTCCACACGGTTGGTACAGGAATCACGGTGTCCGTTTTTCCGTGAAATTCAGTTATTCCATCTGAGAATAATAGATGGATGCTTACCGTTAACAACTCACACACTGGTAGCAGTACTAATGAACCTTTCTGAAGCAGCATTGAACGTGTGTATGGAAAGTCGACAAAGGCCAGAGAGAGAGAGAGACTACGGATTTTCTCATGTCGCAAGACCACTGGTCCATCTTCTCAGAGGGACTTCGTCTCGCAAAATATATGCCTCTATACTTATCCCGTTTTCCATGTGGCGCCGGGTAAGTAACACAAACAGAGGCACCTTTATAATGTGGGAACCGTGCACCGAGCTGATTAGTGTTGTCAGTTTCTAGTCAAAATTCCCTCATTTGGTCCATGCTGGGTTAAATGTGTATGCAAAGACTGACTGTCTGATACCTGCAATCTGAAATCGCCCAGTTTTTCTCCTGTTTAATTCTCATCTTTTTCATCCTGTTTAATGTGCAAGGATACAAGTTCATGAATAGTTATGTTGGACATATATCTTCACACTCCCTACCTTCTACGGACTCTAGATGCTGCAACTTCGGATAGGGAACATAAAGACGGACAGGAAGCCTTACAGGGGATAGCCTAAGCATCCAATAATATCGGGATGCTCGACTTACATGACCAGGTAGGAAGCTGAGTAGCTACACATTGGAGGCAATAGCTTGAATATAGGAGCTTCACAAGCTGTTTTTGGGTTACTTATTTCAGCACAGTTAGCTACTGGTAGGTCACGTTAAGGGTTCCGCACAAAGAGTGATGGCAATGGCCAGCGTGACTGAATTTATCGGTGAAAGCCTTTATACTTTGTTGTCAGGTTGCGCAGTGCTTGCTTCACATCATCATCATCATTCACCCTGTAAATCTGCTGGGCAACCGTGGTCTTGCAAGTCAACCGCCCATTTGAACGAAGAGTGAGTAATCTAACCAGAGAAACATATAGTGGACGAGCTCCTTCCTCCAAAAAAAGCTTGTGAACCGCATGTGATGGTCTCACCATGCCTGGTCAACGATTAAGAGACAGCAATGAACTCACTGAAGGTCATCAACTGCGATACTTAAAAAAGTATGAATCACAGTGCGGTATAACAAAATGGATTGAATTCGTTGGTTTAACTGAACAGCACCGATGGGTCTCATTGTGGCATGGGTAGTGTCGAATGTGGTTTGTGCAAAGCCGAGTGTGAAACCAACTGAACATTATTATACTACCGTAAACCCAAAGGAATAAGACCGGACTGTAGAAAGAAGTTCTTGAACCACCAACAAACTCATATGAAGTACGACAAATATATTCAGTTTTATATCAATCCGATCTCTACAGGAGGTTTACCTGAATCCCAGCTGGATTTCTCGTTTATGCTGCCCAGCTAAGATTCAGATGAGTCTCTCGTGACAACCATATAAAAATGAGTGTAGTTGTCAAGCCTCGTGTAATTTGGATTCAAGTAGAACATAAGGCTAACGGAAACCTGGGGACTGCGCCTAGCTGATTAACCCCAAAAAGGGCGAGACCAGTAGTAGGTTGTAGAGGAGTTTTTAGTAGCCTGGTGAGTAGCACGTTACGCCTATACCTGGTAGTAATTATCAAACGATGTAGAGATATTTGAACATTTGAAGTCCACAGTAAATTAGGACAGTAGTTAGATGACCAGCATCACTTACAAGGTACATCCTAGACACGCACAAATGGTTTTCCGATGTCTGGATGTAATCAGTCTGGTCTGCACAACTGTTACCAAGATAGTAAAACTTAGCACCGTTGTAGGTCTAACATCCCAAAGCATCAGGAGTAATGGGACGGTAATTTACAAAAAAGCCTTTGTTAACTCATCCGATAGCAGTCGCGGAGATTGAATTCTAACACTGTCGGAGTTCCCTGATCTTTTAGATTGTTAAGGCAAATGTGGCACGTTTATTATCTACCAACACATCGCCGACAGATCACTGTTTGTCCCATATCATCCACGTTAAAGAGTAGAGTTTCAGGGGAACCAGATAATAAACAGACAAACCAAAAACACAAGGCAGATCTTGGGTTAGGCTGAACCACGTTAAGCATCTATTGGTTCTGGATGTAACACTTACCCGGACGACAACAGGAGCAGTCTGACGTCGGTCAAAGCACTGTGTACACCATCTCTGACAGACAGATCGATGTCATACTGGCGCAACTGGGATCAGGAGTTATTATTAGAAGTTCCGTTTCCACCTATCTGGGAAGTGATTTCGCCTTTTATAAGCCCACTGCCCTGAACCTATCTAATGGTCGAATTAGTGCTCTGCATGCATGAGGTTCGGCTTTTGGCTCCCTCATGCTTGGAGTAACAATTTACATTGTAAATTTGTGAAGTGCAACGTTAGTGGACCTATCCAACCTCGATAACTGGGTTGGAAATACTGTCCCGACATCATTGTTAGTGTACTTATTACGTAGGGACATATAGAGCTACACAATCCCAAGGGATGAATTAAGTCTTAATTCTGGAACTTAAACTTACTGTTGTCACTACAGCAACTTTTTGGGAGAAATTGTCTCGACATACTTTACAAAGGTTCACTTATATTCAAGAGATTAGCTGTTTCTCAAGTTTTTGGAAAATAAAGTTCAACATCCTGTCAGGGAAATTCATCTTTTCGAGTCAGTCGGGACAACGTAAGCATGGGACTTCGTCAGCCTGATTAGACAAAGCCCATCAGTAATCGAGCAGAAAAAAACAGTGTACAAAAACACAGTTGTTATAATTACTGATACTTACCTGCCAGACTGCAGGGCTTTTGATCAATTTCATCGCTTTGAATGCTGCGTCCATTTCACCCATCGTCAGATAGTAGCTGAAGCTAAGCATGGCATCTCGAGTGTTCGAGTCTGTTTGCTCCAAGTCTATGAAATCACGCATTACGCGTCGATTGATGTAGTGGATCTTAATACTGGCCGAGTTGTTCGTATCGACTGTGGACATCATGTCTAACGTGGCTGGCCCGTTCGGATCTGCGGAAATTTTGGCATCTGGCTGACTTTCATTCAAGTCGAGAATCGGACTAGTTGCATTTTCATCTACTTCACCGACAAACCGTCGACCACTTGTAACCTGGTTCCTCCGACGTTGACTTTGCTCGGTTACCAGGCGATATACAAGATCACACTACAAAACAGTACATTTGATAGAATAGGTTATTGAAGCGGAGATAGTTTATCTTTGAAGCGTTGACGAAGCCACGAACTAGTTTTATACGTACTCTCCCGATTTACCATGGCGATGCTTACTGAAATTTTGGCATCATCTGTGAAGAACTTACGCAACGTAAATTGCAACTGGTATCAATATGCCTGGTTTAAAACAGGTGTTTTGTTTGTTTATTAAGGAACAAGGCGAATAAAAGAAAGTGTTTCTCGAGAATGTTCACTCAGGAACGTAGAGGTTGACAGTCATCGTTTTGATCGATTGGACTAGGACGTCGAATTCAATCTTTTCTCTTAATTTTGAATTTCATGCGTTCGTCTCTTTGAGTTTTGTGATTAATCGTCCTGATCGACCCTAAACAGCCCTCAATGTTGTGCCTGCTGTCTTTGTTCTTTTTAGCTGATCTTATGGCATGGCTTGGCTGCACCTTAAGTTGGCCACTTCGCTTGGTCCCTCAGGTTGAGGGCTTGTGAGCCAGGATTAACGAGCCCTTCACCTTAATTGGTGTGGGCCAGAGCAATCGGCATTGTGTCAGTGTTTTTTCACTTATCTACCCTCTTATGAGAAGCAAACGATGCTACCCGGTTAGCACGGCCGATGTAGCATAAAGCCATTGGCATACATGGGCTGGTATACTTTCAAGGCATCAAGCCCTAAACGAGAGGGAAACTAAGGCCTTAAACAAAACCCAAAGCTCAAAATGCTGTTCACAAGGCAGCAGTGGTTGGCATAAGACAAACGGCCGTATGAATATCAGGAAACAAGAAAACCTCAACACAGGAGGTTTGCATTAACTAGAGCCATCTGCTACACTCAGTGATGAGCACGAAAGTCTATGCGCCGTTGTCACTAGAATAACAACGTAGCTCATATTCCTTCGTCAGGCATCATCATTGTTGAAGACAAGAGGGGATAAAGATACGAGTGTTCGAGTCTCCAGGCCATCTGAACAGACGCTGACAACGATTAGCAACCATGTACTGCAGCGTCTCAAGTTAAGCAAAGAGATTAAGCGGCTTCCATCTTAGAAGACTGGTTGAAGTGACATTTCCCGGATATTTTGTCGTTGCTTTAATTTCCTCTTATTCAAATGTCATTTACGCGGATGATATGATATGGATGATATGATATGCACATGATATGGTATGATATGGTTTTATAAGCGCTAACTAATGAATAACCTACTCCAAATGTAACCAAATGTATCAAAGCTATACTGCTACTGACAGTGGTAAAAACAGGCTTTTATCATTGTCTCCAACCACTCCTCGGGTTGATTCGCGTCTGCTAAACCTTTCACACTTGGCCATGGGAAGGGATGACACATCTAGAACAGGCAGTCATACTGCAACCTATATAAAATTTTACAATAATCAAAATCCAACTGCACGGAAAGAAGATAAACAGTAAATGGCCGGGGTAGTCATTTTGCCTAGTTTTGCTGTGAAATGTAACATGTGCCCAGAAGCTGCGTGGGATATTTCGTCATAGATAATTTGAGTGAAATTCAACACCTTAGTATTCGCAATATATTAGCATCAAGCTCTCACAAGTAACCAGTGTTGCGTTGTCGAAATTCTGGACGGGAACACTATGCCGAAAACTGTGAATTGACTGTCTTGAAACAACCAGCAAAATTAGGTGCAGAGACCTCAAAAAGAACCAGGAGTAATATCTGCACAGCAAATATACTTATCCGCTCTGATTCTGAGCGACCTTAACAAACAAATTGTAAATGAAAACAAGGAATGGATCGTTTAGGTGTAAGGCTTTCTCGGTGCATAGCTAGCAAAGTCACCCGAAGGAGCCACCAACTAAATTATAGTGCGAAATTGAAACATTCCTATTTCGCAAAAGGCACACGATTTGGCTTGAGTGCTCAGCTCACCGTAGATACGTAGTTAGATGTGAATAGGCGGACGTAACATAACACAACATTTAGATTTCACAACAAGAGACCATACCAACTATTGAGCGGTTGCTTTTCTGTGAGCTGCAGCGTAAAGGATGAGAAAACACATAAACAGTCACTTGGGCAAAGTGAAACTTATTCTCGACTTACAATTGTCTACTTGACCTTCAGTATATTTGCTTTATATATTAAAAACAGCAACCTCACAGAGACAAGGCAGGAGGGCTATTTAGATGGTCGGATCGAAGTTGACCAGAGCTAGATGGTATCACATGGACTCCACCACAATGTCATTATTGAAAAAAAAGAAAGCCAACAAGAGATAGACAATTAGTGTGGAATTAGCCTGGTCTCATTTTGGCAAATTAGCTGAGCACGGACATTGTGAGCGAAGCCACCCTACAGGAACAGGAACAACGCGAATTTCAGAGTTGATGAGGGACTCTTGGCTTAGTTTCTTCAGTAAGATAAGATAAGTGAGAGGAAATAATAGGAATGTAACTATTATTTATTTTATCTGCTACCAAACGATTGCCCTCTTTTCGGTGAAAAAAGAAGGTAGACCACCATAGCCACCTTATCAACCTTGTAAAACCTTTGCAAGTTAAGGTGAAGACAGACTTTCAGGAATATCGAACCGTCTTTGAGTCGAGTTTTCATCCTGTAGTTTAGGTTAGTCTGGACCGAGAAGCCCAAAGGTACTGCGTAGCTCTTTCGCACTTACTGTGAGTCATCAGTATCTCAAGAATATCCAGGGGGTTCTTAAATGGTGGCCTCCCGAGTGGCTGATGAAACCTGAACCATTCTGTCAGAATCGGCTGATCGACAGTGAGAATAGTTCGCATCTGGACATGATATGTGTCACGCATCCTTTAATCAGAGTTCAGGTCACGTGACCACGTGCTAACTGGCCGTGCGATTGACGGCCCTTCAGATGGAGGTTTCACTTCTCGTGTGCAGCATTCTTCCCCTTTCTAGCTTGTTAACAGAATGACGAGACTCCGGAATTTTTCGGTGAAGATTTTGTGCAGTCTGCAGACTCAACACTAAAAGAGCAGGGAAATGGGGCTGCACTGCACCAATTTTATCCAGATTGCTGGTGATCACACCATGTCTAGAGTCGTTTCGGACTTCAGATTGTGTAGCTGTGTGGTGTTGTCTGGACGGATACTTATTCGGTGTTAAGCGTTTTATACCACACTGACGCTATATATTGTTTTTTTTACCAAAGCCTCTGTTCTGATGGCAAATTCTGGAGCGGAAATCCATGGATATGGAAGGTATAAGAATATCGTGTTGCTCGGATGCCTGTTCACTCGACAGCACTGTACTAACCGACCAGAAGATCCCGATAAAATTAAATCTGTCAGCGTTAGGCGAATGTCTAGAGCTGAAACAACCTCTATTTGCGAGTGGAAACAAATGTCTCTTTGTGGCGTGCTGTGGTACCGTTTGCATTTTTATAGAGTGGTGAGACGTGGACAACGTAGTGGCATCAGCTCCACATAATCGATCCATTTCATTCACAATAGATGCGGGAGATTGTGACTACACGCATTTGCATATAGTTCTCCAGGGACAAAAATCAGCAACTCGATCTGCGATAGGCTATGTGGAACGCATGGCCTCAGATGGTATTCCAAAGCACCTGCTAGTTTGGGGGTTGACGAATGGATTGTGAGACAAATAAGACTGATATTAAGATATAACATTAGGTTTAAGCCCAATTAAAAGTTTAGTTTGATTCTAAATAATGGAAAATATGACGCTAGGAAGGCCAGCCGTGCAATCATGCAGGCCTGGGGCGTTTTAAGTATATCGTGATACGCGAAAAAACGATTCACTCATGAGGACTCACTTTGAGAGTACTAATGTAAGCGCTGGAAAATTAACGAAAATGTTCAGCCTGTGGACGTGTCTGCACTAGCAATGTCGAGATTGAAAAGCACCAGAGATTCCATTGTGTATCAGTCGCACAACGTGGACGGGTAAGTTAATGTAACCTTGCTCCAGTTGCTTCCAGTAAAATTATGTCTCTTATGCACCATTACAGTCTATTTATCCACAATAGCCGGAAACCCCTGCGGATTTGATTGTGGGGTACAGTGCGCGGATGCTGAAACGCAAACATATTGACGGGAGACAACGACACTCAATTGTTTAGCGCGGTACTGGTGCTCGTTGTTCTGAAATCATGCATAGGTCGGCCAATGACGCTCAACGGCCCCCACGAGTTTTCGAGCCAAGCTCACCACCGTGGATTGCACTTGGATTCACTGACTTACCGACAGTAGCATACAGGGCTTCACCTAGACCGTTTGCTCTATCATTGTTGTGCGCATTCGTTCAGTGGCCCAACCACTATGTACGAGCAAATCCGCATCCGGTACTATATATATATATATATATATATATATAAAAGCTGAACCGAAAAATCATATCAGGGTGTGTGTTTTCATTTGCAATAAGACAATAACAAGACATAATTAACGTGCACCGTTTTGCCCTTCAGGTTTGTTTTAGTTTGACCTTGCCAGCGGAAGTGTCTGCTTGCTACCTGCTTGCTACATGCCGTAATGGCGATGTTTGGGAATTTGTTTATTTGGGAATAAAGTCAGCTAGTACTCAAACATTAGCTGACAGGAACGAAACCCAGAAAGACTCCATTTTTGAGGTAGTATTCCATTTGAATAAAAACGAGCTATCCGTCAGTGGGGATATTATCAAGCAAATCTCCTATCTCTGGCGCTGTGGCTAAGGGGGATAAAGCAGCGAACTTTCGAGGATTTACGGGTCGCCAGAATACCAAGATGGCTGCATATGTGAGAATAAATGCGGAGAGCTCGGAAAGTGAAGAGGTAGACCATCTGTAGATGTACAAAGTCAACAGCAACTATCAAGTCACCTAGTATGGGTGGCTGTCCCCGAACGCACTTATAAATTACAGGATCTCGGCACTAGTTCGGTTTTTGGGTGATATGGGAAGCCACCCATTCAAAGCTAATTTACGCAAGTTTAAAATATTCATATAGGCCCAGAAGCGCTGTGCTAAAGGCCACAGAGCAGTAAATTCACACAAACATTACATATAAAGTATGCACTTGCCTACGGATATCGGCCAGCTTTATCGGAGAAGTCCAATCAGCCTGGTGTGCTGGTCACTCGAGTCAGGATAGGTTTGGCATGAGCAGTCTAAAACTGCATTTAATCCTTGAAAGGTTGGGAACTCCCAGTATCTACTGATTGACCAAAGTCGACGTAAACTGGCAACTAACTGTAAGGTGTGTCTGAAGCAAAATCTCTCAGTTCAATGAATGCTAAGCTATGAACACGACAAAATAAATATCCACCAATTAAAGTGATATACCACGTAGATTTGGGGACATACTCTCACAGCGAAGTAATAATAAGGGACCTCTAGTGCCAAGAGCGAACTGTGTTGCAGCGCCATTGGGAAGTGCTCCTGTACGACAGGGTTTGTTTGATCCGGACCGGTGAACATGGACACAATCAAGGTGGGAAGCTGTAAGCAGAACGGAAAACAGCAGTGAGATACGTGGTGAAGTCAAGGAATGCTTTTGACTTTTTGACCTCTTCATTTACTCCTTGAGATAATCCTTCTTATATGAGAGGAATGCCAAAAAAATTGACGACCAAAAGAATCTTTATTTGCCACAATATAAGTGATGGAGCTCAAGTTATACTGGAGATATGCTCCTCATTATTGTAGACAAGTCTAGAGCGAAAGTCTACTTGTCGCACCTGGTTAAGGCCATAAATTGACTACAGTCGCAGGTGATTCGAACTCGTACACATAAGGTTGGGATAAGACGGATATGACAGGCATTCCTCCATCAATTTAACACTAAATCAGCGAACAGGAATGTGATAAGGTCAACAGGTAGCATGAACGTAATTAGCAGAGCAGGTTTTCGGGAGTATAGCATGGTGTACTATAATATAGTGAAGTATAGTGGAGTGTAGTGTGGTATAATGCAGTGTAGCATGGCGTAGTTTAGTATAGTACAAATACACGAATGGTGCCCTTCGTTCTTTACTTACAAACAATGGTCTTCCTGGAATACGCATAGTTACATTGTTGATGGCTTTTAAGCTACACATACTTCAATGAATGTGCAGCCATTCCTCTTTAAAGGGAAATTTTTAGACAGATTATATCGCATGATTGAACTCTCGATCCAGAGTCAGTGTGCGCAACTTGTGTCCCACAGCGGACTAGGTTTTTAATCCAATTTTTCTAGTAGTTGAATGACCACTCTAAGGTATAAAATCAGTTCCACACAGCACCAAAGACCGAATGACAAAGACATTCCTATTTGACATGGCTTTACCGAGGCTCATCTAGAACAGTGCCAAGCAACAGCGAGTTTTTATTCAGGATTTGGCAGCCCTGTTTGTAAAAACTCCTGTCCGGGAAAATGTGATGAATTTTGACTTCATTTTGGTCGCATATCCACACCGAGAAAATACCTTCAGCTCCAGCTTCATCCAGTTGCGATGACCATCTCAAAGTGTACCGAGTACTCTAAATAGTAATTCCCACTCCTTAGGTTACAAGTGCGGCATTCTAAGGCCACCTGGGGAACGGATTTACTAGAACAAACATTGCGATTCAGTCTTTTGCAGCGCCAATGCTTCTTCGTAGAAGACACCTTATCACAAGCAGAACTATCACAAAACTACAACCTTGGCCTCGTTTGTAAAGAAAAGGTTTCCCTCGCTTAAGGTGTGAGGAAACGAAAGGTGATCAACAGCTCAAGCAACAACAGTGGGGTAATTCTGTCGATGAGCTCGACATGGAACTGCCACTTTTCCATTCAAAGAGATAAAGTTTATCTCCTGTTGAGAGCTTTTGGACTCGTAAGTTCTCGGTCAAAACTAAAAAAAAGTGAGATTAGGAAGCCCCTAGAGGGGGGCTTAAGCACTCAAGGAAAAGTAGTTCATGCAAGCCAGGAGTAGAGGATTATATATATCAATGAGGAGAAATTTGGTGCTTTAGGTAGCATAGACGGTCGTCGGTTTGTTCTTGAGGTAGGCAGTTGGATTGCAGATTTTCGTCACCAATCTAGGTGACATCATCAGTTCATTGTTAGGGGTGGAGTGGAGAGTAGCAATGGTGGTTGTTGCTACCATAGGTGCTGGTCGTTTCTGCCTTATAAACTAGCGCACAGGCTTGTAGTAAATAAAACATAAAGTCCTCATAACTGCTTTTGATTCCGGTTTCATTTTGAACGTTATCTCCAAATTTAGAAATGCCTTGAAGTAAGAAGCAGATTAACTGGGTACTCCAACATGGCACATATGATGAACGTGGAATACTAAGCTGAGTATTTTTACTTTCAGAAAACCGGGTGCTTTTAGTGCTGATTTATAAGCAGTGAAGCCAGAAAGAAACCTCTGATGCGAGTTACATCCACTGTATTTCCACTATAGTGATCACTCTCGGTGATCCACACTCGGTTAGTTTTGGTAAGCAGAACCCCATTAAGCACTTTAAATAAGGCCCATAAATTAGAAAGAGACTTACTGATGAAATAAAAATTCTACTCAAATTGTTGAGCATTCCAGGCGTCGAAAATGGCGCTTAATCTTTAAAGAGAAGGCAACACTGGAGATAGCAACAATCTGAGAAGGAGCACACAGCTATGTATGGTTTGTTTGGTTGTTTCCCGTAATTTGATTCGCTGCCTGTGCGGCCACCATAAGCTTAGTGAAGAAGACAAACAAGCCTCAATTAGAGCACAATAATTCCAGTCTTTTTTGAAAGCGATTTTTGCCAGTAAATAGATAACTTGCGGCAGCTTTTCTTGGTGAGGTCCGTGCTGGCTGCATTTTTAGCCGCTCACACTTCTCATTGACACTATTCAGAGTCTGTTCACAACAGATTCTCTTCACAGATTACGACTTCTGCTGCTTCACAGTGAAGATGTTCAGAAATTTGCGATTTTATCGCGAATCCTTGAACTCATTCATACAGAAGTCAGATGGATTGTGATGCGACGTGGTGAGTACGGTTTTTACGCTGGTCGTATACGGCTTACATCTGTTAAGTTCCTTTCTAGATTTTGTTGGAGATGTGAACACTTCGTTTATGTATTCGGCTGGCCCTGTATCCCGTTTTCTCCTTTCCATTATCAAGATTTATTCATATAACTTGAAATGATTGTACCACAGTGATGCACCAGTGCTCTTTTCTAGTGTTGCTGCCGGAGTTGAAGATGATGTGACAAATCAAGGCTGTGGTTGTCCGCTCAGGCGCTAATCTTTGTTACGAACGACAGCTTTCCTGTAGTCATTGCAGTTCGCCAAACTTTTGGCCCCTATTCAGTGCTGACCCACGTTCAGGGACCTCAAATTTACCTGTATTGTACATAAGGTGTTACACTTCTCGGTTCTTTAAGAATGCTGACTGACTGTTAGCTTGACGCTTGTAACCCTGATGAACCTATTTACATGATTCGCCATCTTAGTCCGGCAGAAAGCAAACAGATAGGGAAATTTTAGCCTTCAGTGGAAGGCTATTTCAAAAAGACATAGTTAATCAGTATTCTCGTTACGCAGTGATTAAGAAGGTCTCAGGATAAGCGTTACTGGTTCAGCATATACCTTGTGGTGAATTGTGCTAAAATGAGAACCACTAGGATGCACAGAGAGTTTCAACATTATAAGTCCAAACAAGCGAAACGTGTATACGAAATGAAAAGCTGGCAAGCAGCCGCGGGTAAACGGTCGTATGCTATAGAATCAGATTTTGAATTACGGTACACAGTGTTTACCAAACAACGTGGATCGGGGATTCAAAATACTTCTTGGACTGATGACAAAACCTACCTTTGGATCTGGCACTTGTCCGCCCGTCGAACTAAAAGTCAGCTTGCTTGATGGTCTGCTGTTATCGCCGGGGGCGCAGCTTTCTGGGGTATCCTTTCCTTTGTTAGCGTACGATGCCCTGGAGGATGCATTCGGTGCATTATTTTCTACCTCTGGACAACACGGAGAGTTTTTGTAAGCTGGATGTTTGGTGGACAGAGGGGCAGCTTCGATAGCCAGAAGACGTGGATCGTACTGATCCCAAAAGTGATGTTTTGGCCAACGACCTTGAGTGACAAACGAATCAACGATTACTAAACCAAATGCAACAACAGGGCGTATGCATCTTGCGTTGTTCCCATCAACACTCAAGTGCTACCAAAGTCCTTTCATTCCGAGAAAGTGTACATTATTTGTTAGGAAACACCTTAAGCTTCTTCCTAATCTCCGGAGAAACTCACAAATTTCACTTGCCTAAATTGTCCTCCAAAAGAACCTGCTCAACTTATTAGCTAACCGTCCTCAAACTTTACTGTGGCATATCGAGGTACAGAAAGCCATCCCAAACGGTAAACAAACATTCTAAATCTGTAACGGTATTGTGGCATTGTAGGTAAATCATCTATAGGTTATTATTCTATCGAAATGAAGTCCAGAAAAGTAGACTATATTTCGGTCCTGCTGTCTTTGCAACAGCCGGCTTATTTCACTGACCCACAAAACCCAACGTTTAGATTGGCGGATGGCGAATCAGTGCGGCTATAAAAGCCTGAAGGTTTTTGTCCGTTAAATATATACGGTATCTTCCATAGCTTCACAATGTGATAAAATAGATGCATGATCGCATGAGTAGTCTGCATTGTATCAGGTCGAGTAAAGATATCATGTACGTCTGTATAGCTTTGACTTCTAAGCTCTTGAGAATTTCATCGGGACGCACGAAGACATATTTGGACCGTTGACATTCACCGAACTCACGAAACAAATCATCAGTATCAGGCTGGAAATAATGACTATTTCCTGACGGAAACTGAGTATGGCCAAGTCACTAGTGGTCGTTTAAATCGTTTTTTTGCCATGGCAAAAATTATTGTGCCTGGAAATCAATGAGTCAGTTAGTTTCTGATTAAAAGGTAGTGCAAGTTGACGCCACAGCAACGCGACCGCTGATCAAACTGTTGTACTCATTTTATACTCGGTCGACGGGAGGTTTTCTCATCGGTTTTGGATGGAAATCTTGCAAAGCAATGGCAGTAAATTTTTTTACCAGACCTCTCTAAAACCAACATATAGTTCATGCTTGGCCGGTTCTCTGCTCAGGCTACCCTTCATTTCCCGTTCTCGTACGTCACTGTAAACTGGCTATTCCCTGAGGGTTCCCCATAAAATAGCTGTAAACATCGTAATTCTGAGAACTATTTGCAAGCCTTTCTTAATTTATGCGCACACATTCAGAAATACCGGATGCAACAGGAATCGTGAATATTCTCACGAAAAAAAGAGTCCTTACCAATAGTGACGTTTGATCTAGCGGCCCGGGCGAACCAAGTTGCGTCCACAGAGGAGGCACAAAAGTCGAAATACTGAAGTTTGTCCTTATCCAAATGGTAGATGTAGATTCTTGAATCAAGAACCCAGCATTGTCCATCAGTTTGTTGTTTGTTGTTCTCTCTAAGTTTCTTCTGTTTCAGCTCGATGACTGTCTTTTCGTGCAGCTTTTGTTTACCGTTGACGGCAATGTCTTCCTCCTCCAGACCCGTGGGCCAACGCGCTCGCGCCACGCATCCGCCGCCTAGAAGTTCCAAGGTGAAACTTATTGCATTCCCCGATTGATTTAGTGCAATGTAGACAATACGCAGATCCTTGGATGACGCGCCAGCCACTGTCTGCCTTTCTTTATTGTTCTCACAGGGTTTTGTCAAAGCAGTTGATAGAACCAATTCCGTTAACGAGTTTGTCGAGTTCAAAAGTTTGATTTCACTGCATTTGGACGATGAAGGGAAGTGTCCATTAAACGAAGCTGGAGATTCCCAAGGATATTCCTACAGCTGATACTGCGACTAGTTTACTATCAGTTGGGTATAGGTGACTTTTTAATGTCTTGTACCATATTTCACTGTGCGCATCCTTATTCAGCAACGTCACGAGAGTGGCAAGTTGGCAGTGCGTGCACAGCGAGCACAGCTGGGCGTTTTGCATTTCACAACAGTATTTTGGCTGTCAGGTTAGCTGGCAACAGAAGGTCAACCGCCTAAACCAACCAGTTGTGTATGATTGTTTTAGATGTAGCCCTTTTCATTGACTAATTCCTACAAGATCTATTACTTGGGTTTAAAGCATCAAACTAACGATTTTAGATGGACCAACAGGGTGGGCATGAGTTGCACACATGCTATCGGTTGTCGTGCATCACTCTCGTGGTAACTTTTAAAGAAGGAGGAGGGAATTCTTACGGAAGGCGAGTTGACAAGCAAAAGCTATGTACACACCATTTCCTGATCAGCGCAATGACGGCATCTAAGAGATTATAAATTTCGAAGGAGGTGGGGTACCAGTTATGCACAATGCTCAGCTAGAACAACTGGCTTCACGTCGAGAGAGCTATTTACAGCTTTGAGTTTACCAATGGACTAGCTAACTTAAATTCGTTTACTCTACTGAGGCCAATGTATATAGCCAAAAATTCCACTGAATTTCTTCGCAAACTATCCGTAACCACCGAAATTTATCAGCAATACTCTCAACCGATTTTAGAAACTTTATTATGATAAAAACCCATTTAATAATTCACGGTCGAAACATCTCATTTTTACTTCAAGCAAGGTGGTCCCTTCACATTCTCCTTGAAAATTTCGCACCTGTCAAGTTCTTCGTTGTCTCCAAAATAAATTTGAATCAGGATTCAATCTTGCAGGCTGAGCATGGTGAAAAAGTACCACTACGTGGAAATTTTTAAACAGCTCAAATTTGCATCATCTTGGTATTTATTAACCAATAAGTAAAAGTGGTATTCCATGAGAAGCCACGGAAAATAAACCCCAAGGCTACGATATCATCATCATCATCATCAACGACAGCATGACATCAGTGCTCAACACCAATGCTTCACTGCCGTATGCTACGATATCATAATCTCTATCACTCTTGCAAACAGCACTTGTATAGTTCGTCGAAAATCTACTAACCTGTTGGGGCACCAGAGTTTTTGTTATGTTATTAACGGTATTGTTGCCCGTTTATAAGTGTCCTCCTGGTTTGCAAGGCTTGCCGAAATAAAGCGAAGCATGTGTACGCGTAATACACTACTCATGAGGTCACCAAAATCCTTTGACAGCCCACGACCGGTTTCGCTCTTCTTAAGGCTCTTCAAGTAGGCGCGGTCCCTGAGTCTTCGATAACCTGTATGTTCTATATGAACCCAAATTTGACTGATTTTGACAAATGCACTCATTTGTATGCAATTTGGTTTTGCGGGTGACTCTCCTGGATCCCAGCTGAATATCTCATTTATGATGTTTTCAAACAACTGAATGTGCTGCATCAGGCCGCTTCATGTTTTATTTTGTACGACATTCAGAATATCGCGATACCTAGACGGACGAAACCGATTGTGGACTGTCGAAGAATTTTCAGCAACCTTATGAGTAGTGTATTACGTCTCCACGTGAATCGCGATAGCTCGAATACCGTAGCAGCTGAAACATAAGGCGGCCTGATGCAGCACATCCAGTTGTTCGAAAACGTCATAAACGGGATATTCAGATGAGATCTAGGTAAGTATCCTGCAAAACCTGATTTGCTTGCGAGTGTATTTCACTAGAGCGAATCACTTCTACAAGAGGCTTGATATCCCGTCTAAATCTCCAAAGCAACATAACCTCTGGAGTGTAAATATTCCAAGACGAGGCACCTTATCACCTCTTCTGTTGGCCGTGTACTTATAAGAGGCTGACATTTCACGGCGCTGTTCTAAACTAAGTTCCCCTGGTGTGAAAATGTATGCCCAGGATAACAGAATACCGAATGATTTCTTTCGTCTCTACTTAGGAAATCAACAATGACAATAAAGGAGAAAAACCCCGAAACCACTTTAAAATTAAACAGTCTGATATAAAGTCCTTGCACGATGTTTGTAGGGTGATGAATGGGGAAATGAAAAAAAAAACTGACGCGGAATGACTTTACAGTGGCACTGATCATACACAAAGACTTACCGCCTAGATACATCGTAGATTTTAGCTTTGTTTTGGTCGGTGAGACAAAGCATCAGATTTGCACACTGAGCAGTCTGTACTACAGATCCATCCGTTTCCGAAAAGTTGATGAGCTGTTTAACTGTACCCTGAAATAGGAGGTAAACTTCAGTAGCCAGGAGGTATAAGTAGCTTATTTCACAAGTACTTTCCAGCCCATTTAGTCAAAAAACCACTAGAATCGTCACCACAGAACTCCACAAGATGCAGAAAAGCCGGATGACGGGCATTTTTGGAGAGCGATAAGGATTTCTTCTCGTGCCTTCCTGATAGTTGTGCCTGCATCTTTTGGTGGATCGCTTTGCTTTCCAAAATTCCTGTTCAAAGCTACCCAACTTGACAGGCTGGTGGAGCGGAAACGTTTCGCCACGGTGTCACAGTGCCACAGTGTTTAAGTCTAACGCCTTTAGGTTTTGTGCTCCACCTTAGAAATGTTACGTTTCTCTCACCTAATTTTCAATCACACCGTCTTCCACATTGCTCGATTTATCTTCATTTCCTAGTAGCTGCATTAAGTAACATGAGAGAGAGAGCCATCTCAGAGGGTACATGGTTCAACAAGCTAACTCCCCACGAGAATGTATCCTCAATATAAAAATCTAAGGAAACCAAAATTCATGATGCCTGGAGTCTTAAAGCGCTAGCTAGGAACTCGAATGATTGATATTTTAGACTTACCTTAAGGAATCTTTATAAAACAATAGGTGATCTTCACTTGCAATGATAGAATATCAATAAATTCACCAACAAACGTGATACTTCGTTTTTCATACCCCAATATGATCAGCTCTAAAACAAATTGTTGGCGCAAGATGAAAGTTATCAGGTATCTGGTCTTAACTGGCACTAAAATGGCCTCATTTCTTCCAGTAGCAGCTGAAGGACGGTGACCTGGTGATAGTGGGGCTTAACAATTCCTAGTTGTCAGATGAGTAGGAAAAATGCCAGTTCGACATTGCCGTAAGTGGAAACTGAGAGATCGGTTTTCAAACTGTGCTGGCTGTGCTGATAATTACGGAGAGCTAAACTTTCACAACATCGCAAAAGTAAGCTTAGTTTTCTATAGACACTTAAGCAACATTTTTTGTGTTCAACTGTTTAAAGGATCTATAACTGGCGAAGCAAATATTCACTACAAGAGCCTTCAAAAAGTGAAACTAGTTGCAATAAACCTTACCTGGAATGTTCGTGTTTGCAATTTGTAAGGTTCTATCGTAAACAGTGTCTCGTCGTACATGCCAACCAAACGGAATTCGCAGGAGAAACTGCCTGAAAGAAGTGTGGGACCTGAATTAGTGCCTTACAACTAGCAGCACTAGAAAATTCTCAAATTATTTTACCGAAGCAACTGGTTCTTTACAACCTTACTATTTCCGGAACCAAAGGGGAGGAAGTGTTAAGGTGAACCGTATTTGAAAGGAAATATTCGAAATGTTGATAAGTGACACTGCGACTTGCTCAACTTTTGTTCGTGGGTAGTTGTGAGATCTGTAAAATCGACATTCACGTCACCCTCGTTTGAATATTTCCCTCCTGTCCTGGCATAGCTGTTTTGTCAAGTCCATTCCAAAGGAGAAGCTACTGTGCTTGGGTTTTGCTCCTATCAGAGCTCACGAGCAGTACATATCCTTGACCGCGCCGGTATTTGAACTCTAGACATTTGACACGAGGGGCGAGCGTGTCATCACTACAGCACCAGAGCACTTTGGAACCATGTCTATACAAGTGGGGTGATTGAAGATCCGAACAACGACTCGCTAAATGTCCTGTTGTGACGTGCCTGTCAAGGTTTCTCAGTCAGGTAGCACCATAGACGCTTGAAGTCTTCCGGACAAATTTTGACTACATGTGGGTCGTTGCTGGATGTGTCGGATTCACACCCATATAATCCACATTTGAACAGTACTCATGCCTGGCGCAATTAATCTGCTACTTTCTCTGGTCATGTTATTGCGATCAAGGTCAGGGACGAAGTTTCAGTCACCCGTCAGGTAACATGGCATGAGGTGCTGTCACGGTGGATTTTCCGCTCCGACAACCGCTGAAAACAAGGGCGAAGTTTAGAATAACAAACAGTACAGCTCGGTTGTAAGTATACCGCATAATGCCGTAGCGAACAAACCACTGGGCTGGTGTGTATCACATTTGGGGAGCGGAAATTGAGTGTCATCAGAGGAAAACTCATGGTAGGCTACATCGTAACCTTATTTTCAAAAGGGGTTCGACATAAAAACACAGAAGTAGGGCTCATTGTATCGTGATGAAGGTTGTGGTAGCGGTGACGATAATCGTTACGACGATGATGGCGATTACGATAAGCGCATTCTGAGGAGAATTCGAAGCAGTTATTCGCAGCACATTCTGAGGTTATTAGGTCGGTGGAGTGTGATATGGAATAAATTATTAATTTAACACTGGACCCTTTAGCTTTAGTAGTAGCGCAGTCATAGGAACCTCAACTTATCTGGAAAAAGTCACCTTTGAGTTAGGGCAAAACATCGTTTTCGGTTAGCCGTACCCAAAACGATTCTGCTTGTTTTCATTGTGCCTGGAAGAGATACTGCAAACTGGCCCGTTACACATTTTCTTGTAATCCAGAAGGTGGGGCGTCGCTCACTTCATGTGACATAGTGTGCCTCTGGGGCCATTCGACTCGTACGAATATGTCTCAGAAGTTTGAATAAACTTGTTTATTTACTCAGCAAAACGGGTTTGGTGGACGAACGGGTTTCTACGTCAGTTCGCACACACTGTTGGATAGCAAGGCTACGTTCCGAGAGTATCTTAGTTTCGTACCACTTTAGACAGGATGAATTGTGCTGGACTTACCAAAATGTAAGATGCAGTCACCAGTTGCATGCCTGAATGTGGATATTCTGTGTCCATTCCAGTATGAGACATATTCCTAATGGATGGAGAGAGGCTGCGTTTTAGAGGCTGTTATCGGAAACGATAAACAGGAACTCCAATCAAGATGCTCGCTTCACTGAACAGAATACACAGCATAACCAAACAATGTAAATTGAAACTAGGATCCACCTCTATTATGTTTTTCTCTCCTTCCCGAAAAAACGTTTACTTAAAAAAAGCTATCTCTGTAGTGAGGTATGCGATACTGACATTCAAGAGCGTCAGTCAGGTTGTTTTCACTGTCTACCAGGAAGCATTGAAGTTAATGACCGCAAACAGGAAGGAAATTGTTCAACTTCACATCACCCTCGTTTGAGCAGTCGTCCTCCTGCCCTGGCGCAATTGTTCTGGCGAATCCACGCCAAAGGGGGAGGGGAGCACTGAACTCGTGTTTCGCTGTTGTTAGAGGTCATAAGCAGTGCATGTCAGATGGCTATGCCGGGGCTTGAACTACGGCGAACGTGCTACCACTATTCCACCAGCGCACGTTCGATGCATCTGAATTCTCACGTCTGAACGTGTCCAGTTGCCTCCCCCCTTCGGTGTGGATTCACCAGAATGATTGCACCAGGACAGGAGGACGACTGTTCAAACGAGAGGGATGTGAAGTTGAACAATACACCTCACAGCAAACCCCACATGCATCAAGGAAGGAAATTCTTCTTGTGGCAGTACGGATGCTAGGTTGGCCGAAACACGGTAAACAAACAGCTGGATACTGCTGATCAAGTCAGCCGGGTATTTTCTGGACAAGTCGCTTGGAGCTGGCTTGAGATAATCGGTTGTCAGTTGAAAATCGTGTTTGTTTCATTCCTGCATGTTTGGCCCTGCCGTTCATCGAACTCATGAGTCTTACTTATAGAACAGCTCAAACAAAGAGACAAGAGAGGCACTGCTTACCAAATGAAATTAAAAGAGAATACCGGAGGTTTGATGAAACCACAAGACCCTGGATTCGTTGTAGTTCTGGTCGGGATAGAGCAGAATAAACTTGGTTGAAGACCTTCGGGTTCATCAACGTGACACTAAGCCGTGGCCTATTTGAAAGTCCGTCGAATCATACGAAATTATTGGTTACGTTTTGCATGTGAATACATCTCCCTTATCCGATGTCATCATTGCAGAAGTACTTTCATCTGAAACTGAAAAGTTATAAATGAACTATGGACCTTGTTAGATGGAACATTCGTGGGATTCTTGGGAGGCTATGAGAGTACCAAAGGTGCCGGGCATCATTGTCGAAGAGTTCCGACGGATGACAAGGTTTACGAATATTCCGCCAAACGACGTAATTTCGGTGGATGAAAACTTACACTCCAGATGTGCGGATTGTTGGACTAGGCTGCATATTCCCTCAGACTGACGCATCGGTTGAAGATGACTGCAGCTACTTTAGATTATCGACCCAATCCCTACCAAGACTGATCTTCTCATGGTAAATGGGACAAATTGATTTACTTAGCTCAGCCAATATCCAGTTACGTAGAAATTACACGTCACAGCTTTAGTAAGATGAATTTCGTGTCACTATCCATCAAGTCAACAAATAAACACAAACAGTTGGTCAGCCATTATGTTGCAAAGCAAAGCAAAGCAAAGCAGAAAGTAAAGCCCTTTTTTATAAAAGAACCTACTCACGAGGTTGCTGAAAACTCTTCGATAACCCACGACCGGTTTCGCCCTTCTTGGGGCTCATCAGGTAGGCGCAGTCCCCGAGTTTCCGTCAACCTTATGTTCTACTCGAACCCAAATTGGACTGTTTTCGACTGGTTTTCACGAGAGACTCAACTGAATCTCTCGTTTGTGATATTCTACATACTGCGATATCTCGAATATCGTGTCATCTGAATCATGAGACAGCACATTCAGTTGTAGAATATCATAAACGAGGGATTCAGTTGAGTCTCTCGTGAAAACCAAATAAGGCCGTCTTTCTTCAGTGTTCGCATGAGTGTCACTAATATATAAAATACATGCAAAACTTAGTAGTTGAATTCAGCTAAGTTGAGATAAGTGCATTCTTAGGAGAGCGCGTTGGAATTGACTTCATTCATGAAGCCATGCGGTGGGCGTGGAAAACAAATAAAACGTATGCAGATATGGAGTAGTTATGTGTTATAAATACCTTAGGCAGACAACGTAATAGAAAATGGCATGGACATTAATTATTGAGTACCAGGTGTAAGTAAATGTAGCTGCCGTGAGCAAACCCGAAGAATTGTTGCACTCTAACTCAACTAAATCGCTACAAAGCTTGTTTGAACCAAACTGCTGCTAAAGTGAGTGGTTCGAAAAGAATGAAATGGGTGTGACATGTATCCGCAACTCACAAGAGTACAGTACAAGGCTCGAATCTGATCTTCTACTTGGGCTTCATGTTCTCGAACGAGACGAATTAGTGACGCATCATCTTTAAACGCACTGCATCCTCGGTAGTTGTTGCTCTGCTGACTGCCCGAAACAAACGCGGTTGAAGTAGCAATGAACGCCGCTGGTAGTCCACTTATTGGCTGGGGTACCGACAGGGGATTAACTTGGTCTTCTTGACCACCAGAATCCGTACTAGATTTGAGTACAGGAGCGGTGGTACCACTGTGTGTGGTCGAAGTAAATAAAGCTAGTGACCGAGGTCCAGTTTGCACTACGGCACAGCCCTGCTGACCGAATCCACTGCAAAGAGTTTGCCGTTCGAGAAGATATGTTGAGCACTTTGACTGCAAAACTTTGGGATCATTTGAAAAAAGGGGAAATGCGAAAAGGTGTTTAAATCACCGGCCTTAGTTTGCTACTTATATGAGAAAGAAATTAAAAAGTTGTTTCGAGGTGACAGTACCTGGGTCACTAAAAACAAAACATTAGTTCAAATTACATTGCAGTTGGAACTGGTGGCTTCCAGTCCCGGGGAAGGTTTTCTTCTAAAGGGAACGACGGGCGGACGTAATGAGATCAACTACAGTTAGCTTAACCAAGAAAGGCCACACGTACACGTGGTTAAACAGGTCATTTCATGTCAAAGAGCGAATTCTGAAACTTTAAAGTGACTAAGGAAAATACTGTTCATGAAAAGTTCCGCTTGTAAATCATCATCATCCTTAGTGTTAGCTCTAATAACCACGTATTTGTCCTATAGTGGTTGTGGCTGCACTGTACAGCACTGTAGGTGGACTGTTAAGTCGGGGGGATTGGGAAGGGAGCTATGCATTGAAGGCAATAGCTTGGATGCGTGGGCGACATTGAGAAGGCTACTGGGCCATGTCCGACAACGTCTCTAACCATTGATATGGCTCGTCTCGGGATCCTCACCCAGGGGAAGAGGGCAATGACCAGCGCAGCTGAGTTTGCTTAACAATAACTAACGGGGCTTAATAAGGTGAGGTTATGGGTATTTCCAGGAATGCTTTGATGTAGCTGAGCATTTTGTCCCAAAAACCACTATGTAAATCTCCTCGAATATTCACTCAACAACTCCACAACATTCAATGGGATTTAACTTGACAGTGATACGAGTTCGGATAGGACCCAAACCAGACCCGAGTTTTCCACAAAAACATGGACCAGTACTAACAGCTAGCGCCCTGAGTTTTCTGGCACTTCAACCCTCCTTTTGTCTTTGACTCACCGTCCTGAAGAAAATATGTCACGTGCTTGAGGGTGTGTAAGTTCCCATTTCCGTTGCAACTCTTGGTAGTTAATACCGGCTTTTAGTCGGTCTCGCAGCTGGCCAGTGAGCTAATAAACAAAGTTTCATTTTGTAGTTTGTCAGTAAAGCTGAAGAACGAATTTACGAATTTTTATGTTTAGCAGAGTGAAAATGTACATGTTATATGGAAATAGATACCATGTAAACGACCGGGAACGTCCAATTAGTCAAGAAGTTTTGATAAAATTGTACATGTCCTTGTGTGGGCCCTAACCAATGAATAGATCCAGTAGCAATCCTAATCCAGAGATTGGCGCCAACGAACGGCAAACTGCTCAATGAGAAATCCACGACTCGCCGAAGAGATCTGATTAGTGGTGCTGTGAGACCGACCGATAAATCCACCTATACACTTTACTCATCACTCATATCTATCATAACTTTCAGGTATTTGATCCTACGAAACGCTCGGAAATCTAAGCAACAAGTCCAGTTTCCTTACAAATGTGACACCAAGCTGCGTGCCCACTCATATTCTCTAGTGCGCTGGCCAGGCACAATAATAAGTTGAGTCATTCAGCAATGCGTGTGTGATAAATGTCACAAAAACTTGGTGGAAAAACGGCTTAATTAGAACAAGAGAGCGACTTGGAGAAGAACTGGGTTTACGAGTGGACGAACGCTCCTCATGTCCGAAAAACACTGCGAGGGCTTGTGAAGAGCATAAAACGCGCCTATTCGTACTTAGGCTTAATTGAATACCTGGTACGATGAGGCTGTCTACATGGAGATTTGATTTTGCAAGGTAAAACGTGCGGACCAGCAGAAGCTGCCGACAAAATAAGATGGAAGAAAAAACAGTAACTTGCTAAATTCGGCAAAAAGCTAAAAAAAACCGTAAAACCAAGGACTTTGGTGTCCATTAGTATCGTATTGACGATAAAAGTCAACCATAGAGAGCGGTGGGATCTTCAAGGAGGACCGCGTATCCAAATAATATTTCGTCTTATTATAGAGTAACGTCAGGTCAGTGGCTTTGATTCACGTGTATGTGGTTTCCACTGAGGAGGACCTGTTGTACACCCACGACAACCTAGATTGTTTATGGGTAGACCATCGTTAGCATGCCATTTATCTAAAGTAAGCGCGGAACTCGAAAGTGTCGGCTTCTTGCTCTTAAGACCATGCTGCTGGTCAATAAAAGCCATCCTACCCCAAGAGGAAAATGCCGTTGGTTAACATCCCCTTGACACCATCAACGTCATTGTCAGTGATACCAGAGGAGAACCCTGGTATTCTACTGCCATACGACCATGTCAGTTTGTTTGAATAAGGCCTCCTCCTAGAGGAAACTACTCACAAGGTTGCTGAAAACTCTTCGACAGCCCACGACCGGTTTTCGCCCTTCTCGGGGCGCAGCTCCCGAGTTCCCGTCAACCTTATATTATACTTGAACCCAAATTCGACTGTTTCCGATACATACACTCATTTGCAAATCAGTTTGGTTTTCACGAGAGACTCAACTGAATCTCTCGTTTATGATATTCTTCGACTGAATGTGCCGCACAAACGCCGCATCATGTTTCAGTTGGTGTGATATTCAAGATATCGCAGCACACTCCTATCATAAACGAGAGATTCAGTTGAGTCCTTCGTGAAAATCAAATTGGTTTGCAATGAGTGTATTTGTCGAAATCCCCCTCCTCTTTGACAGGCATGGGTGCACTTGCTTGGGTTATCCAAGACACACGCCTGTGTCTACGAGACCGAAAATATGCGTGAGGAGTGTNGTACGATGAGGCTGTCTACATGGAGATTTGATTTTGCAAGGTAAAACGTGCGGACCAGCAGAAGCTGCCGACAAAATAAGATGGAAGAAAAAACAGTAACTTGCTAAATTCGGCAAAAAGCTAAAAAAAACCGTAAAACCAAGGACTTTGGTGTCCATTAGTATCGTATTGACGATAAAAGTCAACCATAGAGAGCGGTGGGATCTTCAAGGAGGACCGCGTATCCAAATAATATTTCGTCTTATTATAGAGTAACGTCAGGTCAGTGGCTTTGATTCACGTGTATGTGGTTTCCACTGAGGAGGACCTGTTGTACACCCACGACAACCTAGATTGTTTATGGGTAGACCATCGTTAGCATGCCATTTATCTAAAGTAAGCGCGGAACTCGAAAGTGTCGGCTTCTTGCTCTTAAGACCATGCTGCTGGTCAATAAAAGCCATCCTACCCCAAGAGGAAAATGCCGTTGGTTAACATCCCCTTGACACCATCAACGTCATTGTCAGTGATACCAGAGGAGAACCCTGGTATTCTACTGCCATACGACCATGTCAGTTTGTTTGAATAAGGCCTCCTCCTAGAGGAAACTACTCACAAGGTTGCTGAAAACTCTTCGACAGCCCACGACCGGTTTTCGCCCTTCTCGGGGCGCAGCTCCCGAGTTCCCGTCAACCTTATATTATACTTGAACCCAAATTCGACTGTTTCCGATACATACACTCATTTGCAAATCAGTTTGGTTTTCACGAGAGACTCAACTGAATCTCTCGTTTATGATATTCTTCGACTGAATGTGCCGCACAAACGCCGCATCATGTTTCAGTTGGTGTGATATTCAAGATATCGCAGCACACTCCTATCATAAACGAGAGATTCAGTTGAGTCCTTCGTGAAAATCAAATTGGTTTGCAATGAGTGTATTTGTCGAAATCCCCCTCCTCTTTGACAGGCATGGGTGCACTTGCTTGGGTTATCCAAGACACACGCCTGTGTCTACGAGACCGAAAATATGCGTGAGGAGTGTCATTTCTGTCATTGGGGTCACTATCAACAAGTGTGTACTAGCAACAAAGACATGGTAGGGTAAAAAATGACTAAATAGGAAACTTATACCGAACAGGTTCCATAAGGTTACCCTCGAAGACATGATAAACACTTGGGTAATGAACACTACTTCATCCTACTTTCTAGTTTCAGTTTGATTTGCCATAATTAAAAAATACTGATCGCGTCAACGTAATTAAGGAATGCGACAACGTGGAAAGATGCTTTGGCATTTTACGTGGTTGTTGATAGATGAATCTAAGGCACTCACAACGGGTAAGACAGACGTAGCTAGCGTTGGGAGGCTTATTTCTCTGACAGGTGAGTTATGATGGGGAAAATCTCAATGCAGCGAAGTACTTTCCCTTGAATTACGGGTTGCATGTTCCATGTGGAGCTTGAGCTGGTTTAACTATTCATAATAATTAAAAGAAAGGTGAAACTGTTTTCGTCAGGGCTTTTTACTTTGATCAAGACTTACTTTGTGAGAAAGATGAATGGTCGGGTGTGTGCTGTGTGGAAAGCGCAACTGCCAACCTTTCCTCATCACCGTCCCATACAAGCGCCTGGACTTGCCATGAAGCTTCAGCTGCGCCGGCAGCGAATTCCGCTTCCGATCTGTTTACAAGTATTACCGTTGGTTGCGGGTGCCAGTCAGCCTCGGGGCCTCTTTCCTGTGAATTTGGTTGAAGTGCATATTCTTTTAATGTCAGGGCCTCTTCATCTTGGCTGACAGACCACATATCGGTAAAACTGGAGTGATCTCCACTCCACGTGGGATCAGACTGAAGAAGCTTTGGCAAATCGCGGTATGCAACACTATCTTTGCCATACTGCCAGAAGGCGACCATCCCGTTGCTCAAACCAGCAACAAGTATTTCTGGAAATAACCGCGATTTTTTCGGTAGCAGTGACAAACTCTCGGAAATGTATGCACTTTATGAGGCATGGACGTACAATTAAAATGAAATAATGCATTTTAAAGGGCGAAAGTAGCGAACACAATACAGAAAAAGGACTGTTGAAGTGTTCTAGAAAATTTATCTCACGGCATGTTGATCTGTATCCCGATGATTTCCCGTTGTTGTTGATTCGCATCCTCCAAAATGCAAGCAAAAATGGTGGATCTGAAGCCATATCTTAAGTAAGTTAAGGTATTAGGCGCAACAGCGCTACATGTTAACAGAACAAACTACTGTAATGATGTTTGTAGGAATGCATTACAATACTTCCTCCTGAAGGAAGAAATTTGATTTTTCGGAAGTAAGTAGCTCTTCTGTTTGAGCAGAAGTAATCGACAGACTTCCATATAATTTTGAACTCTCTGTTGCTGCTTCCATACAATTGTCCGTGTTATCCAGGTTGCACAAAAGTGATCACCAGTTGGTTAGATAGACTAGAATCTGACTGTCGGTCCAACAGGGACGGGACCATAAGAAAAAAACGGCCATGAATATTCCTTTGCTTGCTCATTTGAAGGTGCATATGTTCGATGCAGGACGCGACACTTAGGTGAGATAATACTCGAACACATAATACTCCGAAATGACGGTAAACCCATTTGATCATGTTATATTCTGTCGACGTAGATCAAATAGTCATTTATTGAGTAACCCTCTGGCTGACTGTCTATGACCTGGCAACGAACTATAAAAACTCTTACAAGTAGACTTAGTTGGGTTGACAAGTGTCGCCTCTATGAATGGGGAGACCGGAAATGAACCCATCAGTGTTTATAGACATTAGCAGATATGGTCCAGTCACCCAGTCAGCTCTTGTTTTCATATGCATGTGCCCAGTCTCCCGTTTCTCCAGACAACGTGCGTCAACTCAATTCTGTTCTGTTTTTCGGTGGCAGGAACTGTGGCGGCTGGGACCAATACACCATTGGTACATGGTTCATGGCTGACAAACAGAGAGTGATACCAAACGGCACTGTCACCCTTGGTCCAAAAATGTGGCTCAGCAACATTGATTACGTTACCCGGCACCATGCTACAAAAAGCGATCCGTATGAATTTTGGATGTATCCTGGTAGCACTACCATATAGACCCTCATTCAATCGCCATTTGAACCATTATTATTTACGCTGTCGGATACGTACTGAACTGATTAGAGGATCCCAGAATCAGTGGTATTCACCATTTTGTGACATGGCAAAGCAAACGCGTTACTGAAGGAGGAGCAAGGCTGATTACAGTACTACTCTAAGTATAGGTAAATTTTTACCTTACGTAAGAATCCTATAATTTGAAATGAGTGTCATGAGCTCGAAAAACGGTCAAAACTGCCCGAATGATGATGTTCAGTACATGTGTTCTGAAAGTACTAGAATCATTTGAAGCGAGACCAACAGAGGGAGAGACAGTATTGGGCCTCTCTCTTGAAAACTGAAATAGTGAGCCCCATGAAATATGACACAGTACGCAAATTCTCTGGTACGGGACTTCTGTTAAGCGATTTTTCGCTTGATAGGACTACAACATGCAAGATATCTTCAGTTACTCTCAACTAAACTCTTTTGAACGTCAAAACGTGTTAGGTCAAAATCAGGTATCTCCATGATACATTAGAACTTTTACAATTAAATGTGCCAATCCTTGGGTATATCGCACAGCACGCAATATGTACACGTAACGTCAATATGATCAAAGCAGGCTAAATGAAGGACCAAATTCATTAAAACAATGACTTCTTCATTTTCAGCCACTCTTTTATGTTTCTTATCAAATCTATCGAAGATCTTCCACCTATTTCCAGCCATCACTCTTTGATTTTATTCTCCAAATCATCATTCATGTAGAAGCCACTTCAAATCCTCCATCTACCGGACCTTCCTAATGGGCTTCAGTTTATGGCTATGAGCTCCTTAAGTTAACAACCAAATAGTTCGCTACTTTAGTCACAAAATTATGAGCCGCGGGGAGATATAGATGTATCGTATGGAAAACTGGAAAACTGCTAACGTCAAACACGGAGAGATAATTTTTCAGAGTCATTACGTATACATCACGTAGGCTAGTTTTTTCCCAGCATCGCTACCAAAAATGTACTCACCAGATAGCACACAATCACCGCGGTGATTTAGTTATTGAAAATCCGTTTTCTAAGGCCAGGCTTAACAAACCGTCCAGGTTAACTTTGTTTTCACCACCAAGTAGCACATTCTCCTCTTCGTGCTTACATGTGTTATAGTGTTACATGTATGTGTTACAGTTTCTGGTTTCAAACATGGCCTTCTCTGTTTTCGTGTATTTTATCGTGAGACCTGCCCGACGCCTAGGCTGAGAACAGTTAGTTAACTTAGGCTTCTAAGTGGAAAAAGTTTGGAACCAAACGAGAATTCATCGTTTCAACACTGCTGAAATGATGCAATGCATTAAATATACGCCTCTGAATCCTTTTTCCGCTTTCTTGTGTGCCCTCTCCATCAGTTCACCAAGTTTTCTCAATCAGCATTCTGATAAGTTGACAAAAATAGATTACTTATCTTTTGAGCTATTATTCTGACCTGTCTGAGGCGCAGAAATTTCGCTTTGTCCAAACTCCAACACTGATTAACTACTGACCGGGAAAATATTCTGCTAGAGAACGTCACCCACGATAAATAAGAAGGACGGTTATGGTCTTAAATCCCGAAATTTACCTTTCAGTTATTCCGTTTTTCCGACTCGGTTATTTAAAGTTATTGCAATCATCTTAATGTCCTAACTATTCTGTCCGCATGAGTGTCTTGCATATGCACAGTATACTGCGCGATAATTCTCAGTTATGATCTGGGTTGGAAGAGATGGGTGGTAAGTTGAATGACAGTAGATATTTGCACAAACAACAGATGGTCATTACTGTTGTCTAGATAGCTTTGTTCAATCCCTAACAACAAGTACTTATTGAGTCGGTGATGAAACGGAAAAATCAGTACCGCAGATTGATGCACCAGGATTGTAAGCTTAATATTTACTACGACAAATTCTTGATAATACGATTTTGGAAAAACGTGAAAGTCCGGCTACATTGTGGCAGCCGCTCAATTAAACAGTGGATGTCAGGGGCAGACCGTTGATGGTGAGTGTCGTACAAAGCATTAGCACTGTAAACCTCTCATATTATTTTATTTGTCATCATCATCATCAGAAACATAACATCAGTGCTTAACGCTGATGCTTAGCTGCCGTGCAACCTGATTTAGCTGAAAGCCTTTTTATGGAAGGAAATAAAAGTGAACGGAAAAGCGACCTGTGCTAGTCTACTGAAATCAACCCGAGGTGCGATCTGGGTAAAAATCTGTTAGCAAGAATGCCAGTGACATCGGTTATCAGCCATATATTGATGTGTCCCCAACCGGGCGCAAGGAGTATCACGCAGTCTCAATCCTTGACGTCGAGGCAAACCGTCAGTACCCGAATTTTTTCACAACCTCTTTCAGCATCTCAAGAACAATAAGCCCATAACAACCCATCGATTTGTGGGAAGAAAGCTGCGACATATCAGAGTGAAGCTGGAAACTGGGGAGCAAGTCAGACAACCCAACTGATATGATTCCATCTTGAGTGACTGTCCTGTTATAAACCACTGATGCCCTAAATAATTTGCTCAAACTATCATCCTCAGTAACGACGGCCGTATCAATGAAACCAGATAAGAAAATGTGTAATATGTGCATAAACTAATGCGCATTAGTTAGCTGACCAGTGACTTTGTTTTTCCATATATACACACTTTCAAATTTGATATTATAGTTAATATACGTTTACAAGTAAAATGTACGGGACTTTCTGTAGAAGTTAGTTGACTTTTACAACAACTCTTATCAGGGGCAAAGGTATTGTCATTGAAAGAAAACCTCTAGTTGCATGTTGAATATCAGCCAGAGGACATTCTTCCAGTTAGGTACAAAACGCAGGAATCTGGACTTTAACTGTCGGTGCGAATAGACAATGAACTGCCACATGAAATGCTTTTACTGATGAGGATTATTTCAATAGGATAAACGGAATGAAATGCAGTGTTCGTCACAAGTAAAAGGAGATGGCGGATTGGAAAAAATTATTCATCATCACTATCAGCTGTAAGAACCACGTAGTTGTCGTACGGTGGTTGTAGCTGCCCCAATTGCGATGATTTGGAGAGTAGGTGGCTGTAAGTGCTTAGACAACTGAGTACATATAAACTGGCCTTATAAAGTGAACGGGACCTTGAAATTCAACAGCTCATTGGAAGAAGCGGGAGTGATAATGCGGGGCACACATGTAAAATATTATAAAAGTCCTACACTTTTAGGGAGAATGGTCATATAGAAAACACGTGCATAAATGTGCCTTAAACGCACACCATCAAATACAAAAAGAATGCACAAAAATAAGCATTCAAGATTTTATTGTGTACAAAACAGGCAAAATTAGGCATTTATAGCTACTTTGTAAGTAAACCTATACAACGAATTTCAGCCACTTGGTCAACCCATCGAATCATGACTCTGTTGCACTCCGTGTTCTACAACAGATAATCTCCATAGCTCGTCGCTCCACCACTTTCATCTAAGTCAAATTCAGCCAAGGAAAGTTCTGAGCTTTCAGTTAATATCGGCTAAAATAACTTGTGTTCCATATCAACAGCCTTATTCTTGTTTCGCGCAAGCAATGAATTGAACCGTGAAAACGATAGTGAAAGAAGTCAAACTGTGATATTTCAGATGCATAAAAACCGAGCTTTCGGCTGGTGAGTTTCACGTCTACCAGGAACCATCAGAAGCTTCCATCATACTAACGTCAAAGCAATTCGAAATTTCAACCTTTTATGATGGACATTACCGACGATCCCTAACACGGATGAAGCAACTGTTCATGGCACGCACCTTAAAATCTGCAAAACTGTCACTCCAGGAGACAGTTTGCACCGGATCAAGTGGTTTGCACTAGATGATAAAGGAACGAGAGGTGTCATATACCGTCTGAGCGAGGTAGTGAGCTTAAATCTCTGGCATGTTTGCAAGGTGCGAGTGCTGACGATTCGCAACAACGAAATATCTGTACAGTACTTCACAGATTTTATGCGTAGATTTGTTCCACTTGAGTACATGTTAAGATTTCTGAATATTTTGAGAACCTCCAAAATAGGAGCATAAGTGTTGCAAGTGAATGTGTGAGTACTGTACTGTATGCAGAAAGTCTTCACGGTTTCTAAAAGAAGCTGTTAACACCTGACACTCGGTTTGCTTCCTCCAGATATACACTGGCTACCGCAATGAGTGCAGAAAATTCTATTGTGCTTGCTATCATTAGGTTGGTCAGGTTGGTATAGATAACTACCAAATAATATCACTCGGTATGACACGACCTCAGCGGAAGGAGGTAGACAAAGACTTTCGTTTTCGGGGGCATCTGTTTGAAATAAAACCTATTGGGAATGTAGGGTAAATCTTTTGGTAAAAACGAAGGCTTTCATTGCTTAGCTTAAAAGTTCAAAATACAGTGGGTCCGAAAAAATTGTGAGGGTTTGATTTACTTCAGTCAATGAAACCAAAGCGACGTACTATGAATAATTTTGTAGCTTGGAAATGAACCAAACGTGAGGTGATTTATAGATTCTTAGTCAGATGTTGCCTCTGTTAGTCCTATCCATGTTGCAGTTGTCTCGGTTTAACCATTATGATTAGTACACGCGAATTTAAAAGGTCTGACTGTGGCTAGGTCATTGTGGCAACTCAACAGTTGTCTATAGCTCCGGACTCAGATACTGTGCAGCTCGATAAATGTTTTTCTATTAACATTCAGTCGACCGCGACTTCTTGCTGACACTCGGAAAACTAATGGCCATTATTGTCCTTGTTTCATCAAGAAAAGACTCACGATGCTTTGAGGAGTAGGCCACCTGTAAGACTTTTATTGACTTGTTTGGCTCTTCGTGGTCCGTCAAATTCGGTACCAGTGTGTAGTTGTCAGCTTGCTCTACATCCCAGAGACGTACGGAAGGCTCTCCGGTTGCCATAGCAAGCACACTGCCAGCTGCCCAAGTGAGTGAGAGAGTTCCAGTCAAAGTGACGGCGAGTTTGACCTGACAGAGATATAAAAAGTGGAACAATTACGAACAAGCACTTTATAGAAAAACCAACGGAACGCTATACAGAGCTACAATAGCACAGATTTTTATATAAAATTTCTAATATTGTATTTATTACTTCCCACATTGAAAAATCAATGTATTTTTTTCACGGCGAAAGGCTTTTCATAAACACAAAAATGGACATCTACGATCAGACAGAAAGATGCCATGAAAGATGTAACTCTCCTAGTCTTCATTGAACGAATAGTAAGTGCACTGGGTTTGAACCACAACGGTGTTGATTATGCTGGACACAGGAAACAAATAAGTCGATTATGACTGGAATTTAATATGAGTCCTTGGAAAATAAGTGAAATTACAAGCAAAAGTGACCAGTTTTCTATTCTTCAAACTTGGTCACTTTTAGTTTTCATTCTACTAGTACATGGCGCCAAAATAAACGTCATTCTGTTTTTTATTTGGTGGTTAATCAATTAAGGTACTCACCATAGCCTTGATTTTGGTGTAAGAAATCAACCTGGCCGGCATGTAACCGGTAATCATGGAAAGGGAACTCAGTATTTACAGTAACACTTGTTTAGTGAACTGGATTAAAAGTGGAAAATGAGCACAGGGAATTAATAAGACATTTATAAGTGCCGTCTAGTTGAGTATTCTTCGGTTTTATTAAATTTAGAAAGTGAGCTTGTATGGAGTCTGAGTTTTATGCCTGATTTCCGCAGCTAATGACCACAGATTGTCCGGTGGTACTGTTTTCGCTCCCGAACTAGACAGTTAAGTCCACTGCAGCATAGAGAAGGAAAAATGATCATTGCGTGTGTTGGTACAAGTTACTTGTCTGTTTAAAAAGCTGCGTGTATGGCCCCTTTAAACTTTTTCCAATCGTCAGCTAAACCACACTAGATCATCTTACCCTTCAAGTTCTGCAAATTACTGATCTAACTCAATACGATGTTGCTGAGCTTTAGAGAAACCCCTAAGGTGATCAGTTGAATGTCGCAGCATCATTCGGTGTTTTTCCGTGAAGGAAAATTGATACGCGTGGCCTCTTGGTGATCATGAGAGTTCAGTGATGTACTCCAGATATATCGCACTGAAGTTTTCCATTGACAACTGATTACCACATGATGCATCTAAACCCACAACTGCTTTGTATTTGGTGACCCCCAAATCACACTATGTAGACATCTGTGCTGGCCGGAGAAAGATGAGTTCCAGCAAATTATTAAATATGTCGTTCTTATTAACTGTGAGATTGTTTTTAACTTAACTTCGTCGCTAACACGTAGAACGACTACGCTAAAATTGTTAGTATTAGATAGCTGAATAAGATAGTTTTGTAGGGCAAAAATTAACCAGCGTGCGACTTGTGCGCTCCTGCCAGTAAAAACTATGGAGTGTGATCGGCTAACTTTATACCCTGAGAGTGGTTCAAATTATTTTGCATTACCATTTTTTATTCTCATGTTATTATCATATTTCTTCGAAGACCCTTATTTTCAGGCAAAGATTTCTATGAAAAATTTGTACATAACGCCTGATTCTGATGAAGACAGAACTGCTGATCGCGCGCTCAAACTGGAGTGGGTAAGCCAGTGTCACATTTGGACAAAACTCACAGCAGGTATTGACAGACATCGGTAGATTATTTCAAATTTTAAAAAGACTTGTAACGTTTGCTTGTCCCCTGTTACTCACAGAGTCGCTTATATTCAAGAATGTATCTACCAGATCGAATGATTTATAAGCAAGCAAAAGGATTGGGTATGGTTCTAATCAGCATCGGCGCCTGGCGCTTCTGAGATTTAAAGTGCATGACAGAATGTGTAACAAAACCAGTAAGCCCACTCAGAATATTTTCTAAATCCAAAGGGTCCGATTCAAAAGTCGTAACGTCATTGGAGTACCATATACACATGTGCAAATGATTCAAATTCCAAATTGCTAAAGGCGGACACGAAAAGATTCCAACAAGAAGTTCCGGTAACAAAACAGAATAGAATTTTGAGTGACTGGCATTAAAAGATAATTTGGTCTTAGACAAGATATTTTGTAGAATTCTAAGCAGAATGGAATTATTACTAGCAGCAAATTAAAAAGAGACAACTTTCAGGGCTGAAAAGCTATATCTTTTGGCAAGCAAATAAAATAACCACCATTTAAAGCAGTACTGTGGTCAAAACATCTGATGCAGAGTTGAAACATAATGGATTCACCTACGGCTAAGCTCATCTTAATTTATGTGAGTCTGACTCCTTTTTTACTGAATCAACCTGTCATGGGTGGTAAACCGAGGCACCGAAGGACTGTTGACAACTAGACCCGAATCGTAGCAATTCTCATATTCTTTTTTCACTCACTAGTAAGGTAGTCATTTTTAGTATTCTAGATTTGCTTAGATGTTCTACAAAGAAGTCGTCGGGCAAATTGGTGCTAACTTGTATGCTGAAGCAAGTAAAGTTTGTTAGTCCTTGCTGCTGACATCCAAGTGGGGTAAAAATCTCGTTAGAGTTAATTTGGTTCTTCTGCATTTTAGGTTGACAAAAATTAACCTGTTTTTCAGCCTGTTAATTTGAACACTTGGTATCTATTCCTTTTGCAGGTCACTTTGTTGAAGTTTAGCACTTCATGTTGGTTGACTAAATTATCTAAGATAAGGTTCAGTTGGTTTCTGTTGCAAAATCCTTTTATTCCTTTAGACACCAGGTATGTGCAGGCGCTGCTTAATTTTGTAACCTGCCTGCTACTTAGCGCTTTTAGTTTCTTGTGTGCGATATTATGATCCTTTGGTTTTGAGATACTTTCATGGGCAACAACCAAAGCAATCGGTTGTAAACACACTCAACTGACTGTGGATGACGGCCATAAGAGATAAAAATATGAAGTTATTCGCACATTTTCTACTTTTATCAAAGTTGTTATTAGTGTCAACGTGTGGATTATATCATTAAAAGTTTTTGATCCAAGTGACTTAAATGTTTTAAAACATAAAGTCACATGGGGTTTCTAACTGAATAACTCTGAACTCACCAAATGACTGCTAAGGCGCGTAAAATCACTATTCTTGATCGCTCAGGCTGCTTGCTTTAAAAAATACAATAATTTTTTATCAGAGCTCTCCAATAAAAAATGGAAAACAAATTGCTGTTTAGCTATGAGGCCCTTTCAGTGCCTAAGCAATTTGTGCCCATGATATGTCCGGAGTACTCCAATCCTACCTCTAAAGATAAGTGCTTTAACCTTAAGCAAGAAGTGATAAATGCTCGGCAGCCGTAGAACCAGGAGAATGAATACAGGCTAGGATACTTCTAGACTAGCCTAGTCTAAATAGGAGTGGTCAAAAAGCCAGGTTTTGGTTTTGATCGGAAACCTCCTGGTTTTATATTGATTTTTCTTTCTTATTTGCTGTCAGCCATTTTATGCATTGCCAGGTGGAAGTTATGACTTACATGTGATTGGTGGCCTTCAAAGACATTGGTGAAACAAATGATGTTTAGCACTTATCTGGCTCGCTCAATCTGGAACTTTTGTCGACGAGTGAATGAAACTACATACTTAAGAATCTTCTCAGCCCTCCAAAGGGGCAAATTTAACTGGAGTGTGCGCTGTGCAACATTTATTTGGATAAGATATTATTCAGAAAACTTATCATAACCGATGTGTCTTGGTGACTACTATTGGATGATTCTTTTTGTGTGGTTCAACTACTTTTCTGTTTTCAAACTTCCACTTTGAAGTTTTTTACTCATACGCCCCCGGCTAACAAAGACAGTTGGAGTAGCCTACAGTATAGACATTTATTCACAGCTTTTGGCAACCTTCTGTTAGATCGCAGGATAACGCAAAAACCCTTTAGTTATTGTATCAGGATACGTAGATTTTATTCAAACCAGAACACCAGCCAGCATCAATACAACTACGTGCTGCGGATTTAAACTAGAGCGGTAAAATGTGGCTATAAGGTGGCTCACCACATAGATATGAAACTCTCGATTACATAGAAAAATCATGCTACCGACACGCTCATTGGGCCGACAGCGGTGAAAGTTTAAGCTTTGAAACAACACGCTATATTACTAACTGTTTCTTCAGTTTTGATGCACTTCATCCTATCGCAGTTATTTGGTTTTCGGCGTTTGGGCAACAGTTAAAACGGAGCACCAGATAAAATAGCCGGCAGACCTATATGGAAGATTAGGCACTATCATGTTATTAAAATATCGTTTTTTTGCTTGGGAATAAACTGATCACGCATCAAAGAAACAAAATATCACAATTTAACTAAAGTATCAACCAACTTATGCAACAATGCATCTTTCAGTGTGATTCTGAATCAGTCAGGCTTGTACAAATAGACTCTACCGTGCAGGAACTCAAATGTATTGTATAATAAAGCAAACATTTGTATGATTCCGTTTGTGAAACAGATTGTCAGGTTACTCTGAATGTCACCCTGTTGCAATGTCATTTTGATGGAATCTTTGCGACAGTTGATTGGTTCCTTCACTAAACTAAACCAAATCGGCTTTCTATTTTAGAAAATCGGTGCACGTTTGAATATAATTTAAAAATCGGCCTCAAGGCCATAAGATCACCATTTATCCAGCGAAACACATTCTCAGTTATGTAAAATTGATACGACAAATAGAATATTAGCAGAAACCTTCACGTGCTTCTCAGGGAGAAAGGCAAATTACAGAAAAAAGTCGAAAAATCCGAAAGACCGGTTAAATTGAGATACTTTTTATCTGGCAAATAACTTTCAAGAAACCTTAACTAATCTCTAGCGGTAACAATTTTAAGCAGTAACTGTTAAGAAAAACCCGGGATGTGAGTGAAATAGAAAGACTGTTTCAACACACACTCAGTTGCTATCCGGGGCCTATTTCATAGAAAATAAGTAGACTGATGGCATCGAAACACTTTAATGAATATAATCACACAAAAGTGGTTTCCAGACGCAGGGCAAACTTACCTTTGTGATTTCCCTCACGGTGGCTCCGTTTGGGGGTGCAAGTAGGTAGTGAAAAAGCATTCCTCTGTCAGTTATTACAATTAATGTCCCGTTTCTTGGGTGGCAGGTCATATTCAGAATGCGCCCGTCACACATCGCTAGTGTAATTAGGCGGTTCATTCCTGTTTCTGCTGTGACAGAAGCTGATGCAGCCTCACCAGAAACGCGTAGCAGTCGACCTGAGGGGGACTTAAGAATTCTAAAGATAGTTACCATCTTCACAGCCTATCAAGAAAGCGGAGGATTCGTATTGATCGAAATGCACAGGACTAAGTTCAGAAGCCCTCACTGAGCTCAAAAGATCCAGAGCTTTTTCATCTCCCTTAACGGCTGCCTTGGCCAGCGACGAAATATCCCTGTGTGAATGTCGCAATAATTATTTTCAATAACTCACATTTCTTTGTGATCAGTCATGTAGATATGCAGAAGGGAAACCTGTGTTATCATCGAACTGATGTTGAGTGAAAATAGCGGCATTTGCTGCATGTCTCCCAGGGAATTTTGACGCCATACACAAATGAAACCATTGATATCAGCACTCAAGAGTTTGGATCCCTTATTAGACCAAGCAACAGCTACAACCTTGGAATCACCGGAAGACTTCACATCCACAACACATTTTCCTATCACATCAATAAACAAAATACTTCCGGAAGACATGCCAGCAGCAACCATTTTCCTTACGGGGTGCCACGAAAGGGCTGTAATCCGGAACGGACGTGAAACAGACATGGAATCAGTTTCATGTTCCTAATGTACGCGTTAAGTTTTAACACAACTTTTTAAGCCCTCACCTTCGTGTTAAAAACTGCCACCTCACCACTTTCCGTGGCACCGTGCATTACGACCGCAAGCAAAGGATAGCTTTTATGCCACTGCATGAGAGAGACCTCGTTGCAAAGGAATCCTAATTTGCTGCTGATGAAAACAGCCATCGTGGTAATAAATACGAAATACGATCTTAGCAACAAGATTACAATGACCATCACAATCAAGCGTTAAAACAATGGTCAGCTTCCGTTAGTTTGACACAGATCTCAAGACCGTCAGGATGTGGGAGAAACAAGAAGGGGATCATTGAGGACATGCAAAATTGACATGGGGAGTAATGCAAACAGGCAGTTTTTGTTCAATAGTCGACCAGCTGATTGTACCATGGCAAAATATAAGCCATTAGGAGGCAGACGAAAAACGGCAGTTAAAAACAACTGCAAGCGCCCACCAGAAAATTAAGCTGGAACCTTTCAAGCTACTGGAAAAATCGGGTAACGCGTAGTGTACCTGATTTTAACTTTTGGTTCCTGCTTGTGGTACAACATAACAGATCAGGGATCCAAGCTATCGAACGCTCCAAATTCAGCGCTTGCAATTGTTTGAGAAACTTGCTGCTCCTAAAATGTGGCACTATTTTCTTACTTCAATTCTGCGGTTGATTTCTCGTTTCTCTCTATTTCCCACGAAGTCTTTTGCATCCGTTTAATCTTCCAACCTGTCACTTTGAAACTCGCGAGTTACACACTTCAACAAGTCCTCAGGCATCTAAAAACGTTGAGCTGGTGTCTGATACCATACCAAAACAGTTTTGTCCCCAAAATCCGAAGCTTAAAATTTTAACTTCCCTTTTGTGTAAGCATATGTGTTTGTACAAAGGTAAATCATTTGCCTGCGAAAACTATTAAAAATAGTCTATACCCCTAAGCCAAGTGTTGTTATGGTGCAGTGGCTGATTGCGATCAGAGCAAGAAGATCAAAATTAAAGATCCAAATTGGATCAGTGGAGGCTAGTCACTGGATAAAAACCAAAAATTGGCTCAGTCCGACTGCGCTTTCAAATGCTGTTGCTGACAGATGTCTCGTTATTTGAGGGTTATTTCAAGGTCACGCAGCAGCGCCAAATCAATTACTTTACTAATCAAACAACTCCGAAACAGGGATCACTTTTCTTGTGGCGATGTCCACACCCTGCTTGCCTGAGATTTTACTGTCGGGAACGTCCAGAAATAAGGACCTCTCCAAACTGAGGTTTACGTCTGACCATCTGAAACACAGCATGTGATCATGTTGGAGTGACGATTGCTTGAAATTTACGAGAATTTATTTTCTAGTGTATCTGTTGTAGAGCGGCTTGTCATAGTCTTCTTTGGTCGTGAATATCATCACTTGACAAATGGACGGTGATCAATCAGTGTAATATCGCTAACGGTGCAGCGGGCGTTATGGATAACACAAAGTTAGCGGCTATCTCAACGATCTATCTGGTTTCACTGTTAGATGGTAAATGATATATAAACCGTCCATTGGTTGATAGACACACAACGCCACGTCCAAGTAACTTGGCTAACCAAGATGCACACCTACAACGCCTTGCGTAATGAGATTTATTCTCGATGGATACGGGTGCCTGTATTTTTACATGTTCTGTAACGTTACTTACCACTTTAATTCTGGTTAGCAGTAAGAGTGATATCGGTGCATCCCTCAACAACAGCGCCCGGAGTTTTTTCGGAGAACTTCGTCTATTTTTCATTTCCGTAAAATGATATAAGTAAACTATTGACCGCAATATTCTGCATGAGAAAAAACGGTGATTCGTTATTAATTTAAATACAATGTGGATGGGGAAGCGGTTGTTGGCATATGTGGCACGCAGTGCCAGCCATTTTTATTCATATTTAGGTACTGTTGATGGACAGCCCTGCTTACCGGGCTTCGACCCATGAGCTTTGCTTTTCTTCTCAGCCCAAAGAGATTGTCGCGAACCATTACCTCCGAAGAATCGCTGTCCGCTGGTGTTTGCATAGTCCGCATTCTACACATTCTTTCTTGGAACGTGAGTAGGACACACAGAATATATAGCATTAGGAACCCAGATATTTCGGACTCAACTCCCCCTCAAACTCTGCCAGCTAATTCATTACAACTCTCTTGTGCAAGTCGGAATTACGAACAGCATGGAATCAAATTGCACTTGTACAAGAAAGGCCCAATTAGTGCTCATAGACCATGCAAACTAAACATCAGAAGTGTGTGGGGTAATGCGATAGAGTACACACTGCGAATTCTGTGCCAGTACAAGGTCTAAATGTGTAAAGTTATGCTTCGCTGAGTGAGTCTACAATCACTCGGTCTAGGAGCCTTAAACCGACCGACCAATTTATACATGGACCGGGTCCCTATGTGCTGCTTCTTAACCGCGTAGCTAGCAGCCAGATAAGAAGATGAAGCTATCTGTGGAACGGTTAACTTTGTAGATCAAGCAGCGCGTATAAGTATTTTCACGGAACTGTGTGCATGACAAACGATGTGATCTTCAGCGTAAGTCACCCGCACTAGAGAATTTCCTTTCTCTTTCTACACCTACGCAAAACTGTCTTCAACGCAGCGCCTAGGTGCTTCGGTTGCTGTGACGCTTGAGTCGTCAGGGTATGTGAAGCTGCTGTTTCTGAAACATTTTAATGAAAGCAATTGAAAGAAAAATACAGAGGCATAGAACACACGTGAAATATTTGTGTCTGTAGAAGGGAAAGAATGTACAGGAGTTAGTAATTGCCAGCAGAATGCTAGTTACCAGAGTCCCGTTCGTTCGGTTTCCGTGAAAGATGCTCCCTTAATTTCAATGTCACACTACTTAAAGGAAAGAATTGAGTTTACGGCAGAAGAACTCACCCGCCACCCACACATTCAACAAGACACGAAAGCCAACAACTATGTGCCTTAATCATGGAGAAAACATACCCCAAGCAAATCCTCCTGGAGAACTCACTTAATAGTGGTTGAGTAGATTACACACCGGACACAAGAAGTTCGGCCGATCTAGCGCGTTGCCGGAGTACATTTGATGCAGACACACCGTATAGTTGTCACATTGCACTCGGTCCAGTCTCCATCTCTACCAGGCGCCCTGGGAAGAATTTCGGACACTACAGACAGTAGCGTCAATGTATGACGCCATTAAACATTCTTAAGGTGCATCTCTGCGGTGCTGTATGCTGCTGCGGTGGTTCACACTTGTACCTGAGTCTGGCTTTTATTCAGGAAAACCATAAAGCAGCGACGTTTTTTGTATGCAGCTGGATTGGACTTGTTCCGCAACATTAAAAGACACAAACCAATGTCCTTTCGTTCGATGTGAAATATATATGCATGCGGTGACTTGAAGGTACTGTGCGTTGCTCACAGCTAACTTCGAAGTACAAGGAGTGACCACCTTCTTCTTAATTGTGTTGCACCGCTGCAAGTCCAATTCGTTATCTAGACATAACACACACGTTCTTTTCTCTTGTTCTCTGGAGCAATCGTAAACATATTATATGTAAATTCGCTATTATTTCCCGAATACCAGCAGTCACAGCTAGCAACTACTGGCTGTTTTTCGCCAAGCTCCATTTGTTTCTTGGAGCTGACGGCAGTGACAAGTAGACCGAAGACCCTTACTCTTACGTTCCTGTTAAATTGACGTAGTGGATTTCAGTCAAACTACGGTTCTTATCTATTATCTCGGAAGCTGTTGCCTGACCACTTATTACTTGTCTACTGCCCCTATTCACATGACCACCCCCTTTGTACGAAGGAGACTTTATGTTCGGATTCCTTTGGTAGGCTTTGAAACCACCACCATGAAATGGCTTGTTCCAACTAGTACAACGGTTAGCCTCCCTGCTAGCTATCTCGGCAAAAAGTCCTTACCTTCCTAAAATTGGGCACCTACTCTGGCCCAGCTAGTAACTGGTTTCTAGAGCAGCAAACAAACCCACACTCTCCTGGGTCCATTTAGCTTGCTGTCATCCATTTTTAGATTGACACCATGCTATCCGATGCCTTCTGGCACTTGCCAGACGCTACTGCTCTCACCCCATTCTTCACTCACCCTCTTCCTGAACTTCAAACTTCGACTGTAGCTGCCCAAACGCCCCTCACAGCCGTTATTAATCCAATCTGGCTTGTTCCCGGTCCACAGTCACATGGTCCTCCGACCGAAAGAAAATTATACGCGACCATGCATGGGCCCTACACTATCTGTGTCAATATCCTGGTCTAACTCAGACCCAGCTGCCACAGAAATCCGTATCCCCTCTCCGATTACGGCACCCTTGACGACCGTTACAAGGCTATCCATAAACCGAAGTATGTTAGTGCACTGATGGCATGGCACTGCCATACTCAGTGTGATAGTACTCTCGCAATTATTTTCTTCAGAATCTTGTCCGCAACCTCCCGCCAAATCGAGCATGTAGTTGCAACTACGAGCAATTTTTACCTGGCTCTAACCACTACTGGGACGAGTTCATTGGAATGAACCTCACCGAGTTGGAACCCGATGAAACTTCTGTTCCGATTTGACCGATTTGGTTTTCTTCCGTAATTTTTGTTCGCCTCTTCCGCAAGTTTAATTCCATATACGGTGTTTGTTTGGCCCTATGCATTAGCACTCTCTCCCAATCAAAAAATCTTTTGCACTGACTTCCGTACTACAGTGGTACCAGTGAGTCTACTAAGTTTCAGGTTGAACCATATTTTCAAAATAAAATTGGCCATTAACTTCTTCGAATCATTCCATCTCCATCCCCATTTTATCTTGTTGTGACCCTGACCATTTACACATCCGCCCAGGGTCACTCATGGCCAGCAATGCTTCCCACTTTAGGCTCACGTCAACTGGCTTCATCTTTGAACTGGTCGCACCTCATGCACATTGTCCTAGCATTTTCGTGGTCCTGCAATTGCGATGATCTGCGTAACTACAAACGGCCGTTAACCGACTTGGTCAACACGGTGGAGGACATTCGTCAACTGTTTCACAAGATCAACACATTCTGCGCGATAGGGCCCGACGTGGTCCATCCAAAGATCCTGAAGGAAACATCACCAACACCGATGAATCATTTATACCTAGTGTTTCGTCAGTCGCCTGATGAGAGGCGCCGTCCCTCTGCTT